AAATTTAGCCAGAGCCTTAGAAAAATGCCCAGGAAAGCTTTGCCCAGGCTCTGCCTCTTCCTTGACAGTGGTCTTGCTCACTCTGCTCATCATACCAGGGTGTTTTCCCCCAGTTTTTCAGCAGGAATTCATCAGGCTTCCACCTGCCAGTTCTGTCTTGGCTCTTCCTAACTCTTCAAAATACTCAAGTGGTACCCAGTTTGCTTCAGTTAAGAATGTAAGAATAACTGAATTGATATGATAAATTTCACATTATTTAGGGGTTGACTAAATGGTATCATTTACAAATGTGCCTCAAATTTAGTAAGAACTTATATTGAAAAATGTATGTGATTAATTTTTTGTGTGAATAGTTTTTCCCTCCTAATTACATTTCCTGTTAACCATTCCTTCATATTAACCATACTAACCATCCCTGCAGTTTTGGACACAGCTCTTCATTTACTTCTTTAATTTCTCTTAGCATATTTTGTTTTGCCTATGTTTGTTAGATTAATTCTAAGGCAGTTTATGTGCTTTTTTTAGAAAATGGTATTCTCTTTTTGATGTGTCCTTTCAGCCTTTGAACATGGCTTTTTTTGTCAATAAAAATTGTTCCAGGATTGTCTTGTACTGTCTTGTCCCCAGATATGGAATCAGCTATATTACAAGAAATTTGATCCTATTAGTGGAAAAATAGTATTTGGAGACCACAGCCTAGGTGCATGCTGTGCACAGTGCTACTTGCATGTAATTGTTTTTAGTTCCCTTTTTGTGGAAAGCTAGAAAAATGTGTTTTAGCTGCCTGTTTTTAAGGCAGAGAGACAGAGAGAGCATTCCCATCCACTGACACCCTGCTCCTGCTCCCCCCTTGCCCACAGCGGCCCTCTAGCAAGAGCAGAGACTTGGAGGCTGGCGCTCAACCCAGTTTCTGCATGGGCAACAGGAGCTCAGTTACTTGAATTGACAGCTCTCTCCCAGGGACTGCTTTAGCAGGAAGCTGGAACCGGAAGATGAAGGTGGGAAATAAACGCAGGCACTGTGGTGTGGGATGCATCCTAACCTGCATTTTAACTGCTAGTACCAATACCTGTCCCCAGAAAATGCATTTTAAAAATATCATTAATTCATATTGATTCTTCTAATTCTTACCTAGTGTTATGTTCTTCCTTTTGCTGCTCCATGTTTGTATCTCTCTACACATCTTAAACACTTACTTGCTTTATTCTATAATACAATAAAGTGCTTTTTTCAGAATTACTACACTAGTACTGATATAACAACTTATTAAATAAGTGTATTTGATTAAGGGAATGAAAAGTAACTGAGGATAAGATGTCATGATATATTGGAAATTTAGAGAAAAAGATATATGTTTCTTTATGTGGAACTAACATAAATTCTATAGAAACATAATGAAGCTAAATAATAGCAGTTGCTTATCATGGCAGTATTAATCCCTGCGTGAGGCAAAATTGAATTATCAGTTCAGATGGAAAATATGTAACTTGATAATTGAGCCACTTAGTAGTATTTGGTACAGAAATAGGCAAAAACGCTAACAAAGCAGCTAAGTTAAATACTTACCAATTTGCAGTGTCATCAGAAGCACAAAGCCCAAACTAAGATTAGGGTCTACCCAGAGAGTGAGACCCTTTAACATAGATATGCAAGCCATCACTGATAGCACGGTTTTTTTTCTTTATGGTTTTCACATAACTTGTAGGATGCTTATACCTGTCATTCTCTAAAGAATGGTGGCCAGGTATCTTTAATGGGAGTACTCATAGGTATAGTGTTTAAGGCTTTATGATAGCTAGCATTAAGCAATATAAAGCAACATTACAACTAATTCAGCATAGCAATAGTTAGAGGTGGGCAGCTTTTTTTTTTTCCCCAAAAGATTTATTTGTTTTTATTGCAAAATCAGATGTATAGAGAGGAATAGAGACAGAGAGGAAGATCTTCCATCCTTTGATTTATTCCCCAAGTGACTACAACAGCTGGAGCTGAGCCAATCCAAAGCCAGGAGCCTGGAGCCTCTTCCGGGTCTGCCATGCGGATGCAGGGCCTCAAGGCTCTGGGCCATCCTCAACTGCTTTCCTAGGCCACAAGCAGGGAGCTGGATGGGAAGCAAGGCTGCCAGGATGATAACTGGTGCCCATATGGGACCCCAAGCTTTCAAGGTGAGGACTTTAGCTGATAGGCTATCATGTTGAGCTCAAGGTGGGCAGCTTATTTGAAAGACATTTTCCAGAGAGAGAAGGAAAGATAGAGAGAGATTTTCCACCCACTAGTTCACTCCCCAGATGGCCACAGTGGCGAGACCTGAGCTGATCTGAAGCTAGGAGCCAGGAGCTTCCCCTGGGTCTCCCACATGTGTTGAGAAGCCAATGACTTGAGTCATCCTCCACTGCTTTCCCAGGCCACAAGCAGGGAGCTGGATTGAAAGTGAATTAGGCAGGACTGGAACTGCTGCCGATGTGGAATGGAATATCTGTGCTTGCAGGTGGAGGGTTAGCTTGCTGCTCAATACATCACTGTCCCTGGACGTGTGGTGGTTTTTTGTTTGTTTGTTTTGTTTTGTTTTTAACAATTTGTTTTAAATCCAAAAGTTATCAAGTCAGAAATCTTGGGTCAAACCTGAAATATGCTCTATTTTATGCTAGTGCTAACCACAATTTATAGCCCAATACTTCTGTTTATTCTGAAATCATGAAGAGAAAGTAAGTAGATTATGCTACATCTCTAATATTATCAGCAAAATATTTGAAAGGAGATATTGGAAAATAAAGCTGGCTGTTGCTAAAATTGCTTAGATTTTGGTTCATGAATGAATTATTAAACAATTCATTTTCAATAAGCAGAAAAATAAAGGAAAGCCTGCTGCCAGCCATCTTTAGACAGTATTCTGTTGCAGTCCTGTGCAGTGCAGTGAAATGTGTGTTAAACATGGCGTGCTACGTGACAACAGCTTCTACAGCTTTTCACTTTGACAACAAATTTCTCATTTAATATGCACCATACATTGCACATTTGTATAATTGTTTTTGAAGTAGGTCACATGTATGTGTTTTTTCTTTAATTTTTAGTTTGCAAGATACTACCTTCAACAAACACTGCCCTTTTAAACTTTGACATTACATAGACAAGTAGAAGACTTTTGTGTTCCATCTAAAATTGTAATTAAGAAAAAGCATTTGTTGAAACTAAGGGTGTGATTAAACCAAATTTGTTGACTGTTTTCAAATTATGTGGGGTCATCTGAAACAGCAGTTATGTCCGTGGCAGATGCTGTAAAGCAGGCTGTGTTGTCGGAGAAGCCTTTAAAAGCACTGCCACGTGCATTTGAATTCACTAGCTCTTCGCATTCTGAAGGAGGAAGACCTTGTTCTTATTACAGTCCTGTAATTGGATGTTCTTATTCCTACTTCGGGGGATTTAATTGAGCTTGAGAGACCTGAATGACTTTAGCTAATAAATGAATTATGAGAAATGTCAAGGAAGTTGAATCTGGGTAACAAAAATTGTTTTTGAACACTGAATGAGGAAAATTCTCCAATGTATGTTAAATATTTCGGGCATTTTCTTGCTGCATTTGCAAGAGACTATTAGTTTTATAATTTTTGGTTATGTATCTTACTGTCAGTCATACTAAAATTTCTGATGACTGCAGGATTTTAATATAGGTTTATTTGAAAGAGTAACAGAGAAGAAGAGGCAATTGAGGAGAAAGAGAGGCTCAGGGAGAGAAAAGTAAGGAGTCAGGGAGGGAGAGAGAGACAGAGAAAGAGAGAGAGAGGCTTCCTTGTGCTAATTAACTCCTCAGATGGCTGCATTGTCCAGGACTGGGATAGGACAGAGCTCTGGGACTGCCGGCACGTCTCCCATGCGGGTGGCAAAGTCCTGAGTACTTGTCATGTGCATGGACAGGAATCTGCATCAGAAGCCAGCGCAGCTGAGAGTTGAACCAGTTCTCCGTAGAGTGCTGGCCAACACAGAGCTGCTGCTTAATCTGTAGTTTTTTAAAGTTGAATTCCAGTAACTATAATATGCATTATCAGGATTGTTTTGTGGAGTATAGTTCATTCATAAATAAGTATTTTTATCAATTTCTTAGAGGGTGGTCAACTTTAATAGAAAAGGAAAAAAATATCCCAGAGTTTTGTAGCATTAGTGTAAGTATCCAGTAATCTGAAGTAGAGCTAAAAAGAAGAAATGTATTTTCAACATGGTCTTTGCAATTCCTTTATATTCTTGGTATAATCAACAGTGCTTGACATGAAGACTAAATGATTTCTTGTAGTGTTGCTGGCTTAGTGGCAGCCATTCGATTTGCTTACATTTAGTGCAGTGGAGTTTTCTTTAAGTGGAAAGGTGGATTTTTCCTATTTAGAATATATTCAAGAACTTGCCTGAATAATAAAACTCAGGGACTACTTTGTTAATTATGTCTAAAGTAAATTTTTTGGAAGGCCTGATGCTTGAATTTTTTTTATTTTTTATTTATTTTTTTTTTTTTACAACTTTGGCGGTTTAATTCCTTTTTCATGTTTGTAACCCAGAGTTGCTTGGGCAAAGAGGAAGAAAGAACAAAATGAAATGTCCTTCTTTTGGGAACACAAATTCCAAAATAGATGACTGTGAAGAATTCTCAAGTATTAGTTATAGGTAGTTCTGCTGCAGTTCATAGGAAAGAAGGCAATCCGCAGATAAATAATTATTTAAAAAGAAACATTTCTGATGTTGATAGAACATGTTTTTGCTTGAAATGCCCTCCCCCTTTCCTCTTAAGGTATGGTTGGAGCTCTGTGACAGCTCATGACTTACCACTTGGCGTGTCTCTCAGAGATGCTTCCTTCCTCAGTTGGCTAGTTTTGGAAAGTCTGATAGCTTAGTAACAGACAATTTAAAAGTGCTTCTCCTTGTGTTTATAGTTAGCAGCTTCTGCTTGGTAAGCCTTAGCTAGCTACTGTAACCAGTGTATTGTATCACTGTACGCTCTGCATTTTTTTTTTCAGTGTACCCGTGTGATGTGGACCCCGCCTCTCCGTGAAAGCTTCTCCTATCCATTCCTTGTGCTGCAGATGTTGCTCGTGACTCATATTCTCAGGTAATTTTGACTTATCTTTAGGTTTCCTTTTTTTTTTTTTTTGCCTTTAAGAACTAAATATTCATGCATTTTTGTAATAAAAAAACAACATAATTAAAATGATATTGTTATACTGAATTAGTAAAAGCTGTTTTAAGAGTATAACTTAATGGGCCACTGTGGTGGCTTAGCAAGCTTATCCTCCTTCCTGTGGCATCAACATCCCATATGAGCACCAGTTTTTGTCCTGGCTGCTCTGCTTCCCACCCAGCTCACTGCTTGTGGCCTGAAAAAGCAGTGGAGAATGGCCACAAGCCGTAGGACCCTGCAGCACTTGGGAGACCTGGATGAAGCTCCTGGCTTCTGAATCAGATCAGCTCACTACTGGCTGTTGTGGTCATTTGGGGAATGAACCAGCAAATGGAAGGTCTTTACCTCTGCTTCCCCTATTTCTGCCTTTCAAATAAAAATAAATTCTTTTGTAAAAAGTATGACTTAAAAATAATTAAACCAAAGACATTTCCTCCATGTACTTTCTAGTCCTCTTTTTCTTAGTGGTCCACAGTAATTACTCATGTGCAGCAAATTCACTCTGATTTCTGTCAGCTGTCCTTAACCAGGCAGAAAGAAGGGGAATGATGGCCAGTCTGGAGTGTGTGTTGCGAGGTATAGTCCCTTCGAATGAAGAATGGTTTACAGAATCATTGTACTCGGATTCATTAACATGGGAAATTTGTTTAGTGCCTCTGAGAATCAGATAATATGTGTAGAAAGGAACTACTTCAGTACACATAAGGTGTGCCAGGAAAAATCTTTCCAGAAATTTAGGATTTGATTGGATTTTGCTGTGTTCATCTGTTTTATCTCAGTAGAGCCGAAAATGATTAGCTCCCCTTTTTGTTGACAGATATTAAGTAAACTTATTACAGAAGGTAGTAAATAAAACAAAATGGAGCCCATAAAAATGTAGAGCAAAGCTTGATCATGATAAATAGGCTGAAGGAGATGTGGATTAAGAACTGCATTCATGACTGTATAATGGAGACTATCGTACTGGGAAGTGAAGGTACATTGCAGTGTGCATCTCTACTCCCTAATAAAAGATGGACTCCCAAAGAAACAGTTAACTAAACCTTGACAGTATGGCACTAGATTTCCTACCCTGGCCTGTGCCTACAATGCCATGATATAGCTAAATAGCAGTGTGTTAAACTTGTAACTATTAGTAAGGGACTATATTACTGTAAGAATTTGGAAGGGAGTGGTAGGATAGAAAATGGGGAGGGAGGAAGCAAAGGGAAATCTCTAACTACAAATCTGTATCATGGAAAATAATAACAAGCTGCATTCATTGATCTGCCGAGTTCATAAGAAAGGTGTTGAAGTCCACAGCGTGAGCCCTCTTGACCCATTTCCTTGGTGATCCACAGTACTACTTTCAGTCCTCCTAGGTAGTGTTCTTACAACTTTCACACTGTATGGCCTGGGGGTGGCTTTTGCAGTAGCTTCTTGAAGTCTTTGACGCTTGAGTCTACCTTACTGTTCTCCCCTAAATTTTCCTCTTATCATATGATTGAAAACTTCTTTAGCACTTTCAAATAGGTGTACTATTCTCGGGGTGCCATGAGACAAACATTTCTGGAAGAACTGTTGTTCTTTGAGAGTCTTGGCTTCTCCGCTTCAGTGTTTGTATGCCTGTTTATTTGTGTGTTTATTTGGTATGTCCCATCCACATTTCTCCCATGAATGGCAGGCAGTAGACTGTCTGTGATTCTTTAATTCCTGCTCCTCTTCTGCCTATGCTTTTGTTTGAAACCCAAAGACTATTAGAAGCTTCTTACTGCTGCAATAACAGATCATTACAAACTTAGATTTTATCTTAGACTGTAGGTAACATCAAGGCTGGCAGGGCTGCACTTCCCCTGGAGACCCGGGTGGGGAGAATCAGTTTTCCTGCCTTTTCTAGCTTGGGAAACTGCCTGATTTTCCTGGCTGGTGGCCTTTTTCATAATTGAAGCCAGCAACAGTGGACTGTGTCCTGCTCTAGTCAGATGTCCCCTCTGCCTCTCTACCAAGAACCCTTCAGATTGCACTGGCATCCCCTGGATCGACTCCCTTTCTTAAGGTCAGTCAAGTGATTAGTCATCATAATTGCATTCACAGCCTTACATCCCCGTTGCCAAGCCGTGTAACATATCTGTGGGTTCCAGGCATCACAACAGCACCATCTTTGCGTGTTGTTATTCTGCTGACCGGGATGGGCTGCTGCAGTAGGCTTTGTTCCCAGGTGCTTCTGTGGCAGACTCTTTTCTTGACATTCTCTTTGGTCTCATGGTCATTTTCAGCCTCATTTACCTTCTCCCATCATTCCTGCCTTTATATTCTCTTTCTTTCTTTCTTTTTTTAAATATTTTTGTTTTCTTTTTTCATTAGAAAGAAATGTAAGAATTCCATTCTTCTGTATCACCATCATTCTCTATTCTTTTATGAAGTAGACCCTTTCTTGTTCATGTTTCTGGGCACTTGAAGCTAAAATAGCTGTTGTTTTCTTCAGATAGTGTTTTCTATTAAGGATTTTTATTTACGTGTTTCAAAGTCAGGGTTATAAAGCAAGGGAGAGACAGAGAAAGATGGCTGGCTCACTGCTTAGATGACCACAATGGCCAGAATGGGCCAGGCCAAGGACAGGGGCCAAGAGCTAGATCTCCCATGTGGGTGGAAGGAGCCCCAACACTTTGGCCATTTTTGGCTTTTCCCAGACTATAAACAGGGAGCTGAATCAGAAGTGAAGCAGCCAGAACATGAACAGATACGGCACCCTCTGAAATGTTGGTGTCATGGGCAGGGCTTAACAGACACACACAGCACTGTCCCTTTCAGGTTGATCTTGATCTTCCCCATCATCCCCATGGCTTTCTGGATTCATTCCATGGTTGGCTTGATTCTTCCTACCTGGTGTGGCTATTGCTGGTTGACTGGAAATGTGGCTGCTTTCATTGTGCCTGGGGTGGCAGCTTCTTTCTCAACAGTTGCAGTATTTTTGCTGGGGAGACCACATTCTTGCTTATAGCTAACTTTTTGCTTTTCTTCTGAAGGATGATAACTTTGTCTCTGTTGGGTATCCACATCGACTGGTACATTATCCTTTTTACTGGCATTAGTCTTCTTGGCCATGTGGCTGTGGAGCTCTTGGTTTCCGTCTATATTTGCCACCCTGTGGTGTTCGAGGGAGGTGGTTTGAGAATGGCTGGAGTCAGTGAACAAAGACCTGGCTAAGCAGTATGGTGCTGATGTCAGCTGCGGTGTGGAGGGGTGCTGTTATAAAACTGGAAAAGGAGTTATTCTGTTTATACTATGAATCATGTGAGGTAACTAGTATATTTTATTTTAATGAGTTGGTTTTGTCTAGTTTTGAGGTTTAAGAATTTTTTCGGAAATTTTAAGAATTTTTAAGCATGCTCCTTTATATAAATCATGTAATTTATAGCTTAGTCTTAGCTTTTCTTGATTTTCATGGCGCTGTGTATATTTCCACTTCTGTTATCCTGAGTCGGTGCTGTGTTGATCATACCAGCACCACTTGGAATTCCTTGCTGTCTGTTCATTTCTGTTTCTTCCTAGTGCATTCTGTACCCAGTCTCCAGATTAGCATTAAATTCTACTCACAGATCTTTAATGTTTCTTGTTACCTAAAACATGAAGATGATGTTCAGTATTCAAACGTTGTAGAGAAATGCTTTATTTTAGACAGTGATTTTTATGTTTTTGGTTGTAATGTCTAAGAGCTAAGAAATAAATTTTATACTGTGGTCCAGTAAACACCTATGTGTGTGTCTGTATACAATTACAAAAAGAGTTTCATGAAAGTTTTGGAGTCTTGCAGAACAAATATTTGAAGTAGAGAGGCATGTCACTATAGTATCCAGTGCCTAGGTAGGCGTATCCTATGAGAAAGATCTCTGCCTTGTCCAGGCTGCATGCTCAGTTGGTTAACATTCAGACTCCACTTATGTGTATTGGCTGTGTGCTAACTCATAGATTTAGGAGAAAAGAAATCATCACTCTTCACCTCTTAAAATAACTTGCTGCCATACAATTAGATACATAGAGAAGCCCATAAATGTGGCTCCAGAATGATCTTCCACCCACTACCCCTGCCTCTTCCCTTTTTAATATCTTGTCTGCAGTAAGACCCACTTTTCCCCCACAGCCACACAAAAATTTCCCCCAACTATTTGATCCTTATTCTGAATGCTTGCAGTACTTGTCCATACAGTACTTAGCACTTAGAATATGCTTATTTCTGTTACTATTTCTTTCTTTTTTCACATTTTTTTTTATTTTTTGAAAATCTTTACATAGTTAATTAGGGCACAAAGGTTCAAGGGCTACAGGAAAGTGGGTAAGAATATTATTTCCACATTTTTTTCTGTATCTTGGGTAAAGGGGAAGATAAAGGAGAAGCCCCACCCAGCCTCCCACCCATCCCAGGTCCCTGATGTGGGGCGTGCTCCTAGGATCCTACTCAAGTGGTTTTGATAGTTCAACAGTTACGAATTGCTGCAAATCTCGCCATTCTAAGCGTGATGAAGTCACTACAGAATCCACTGATTGACATAGTCCACCTCAGAGTCTCCGTTTGCCCAGTTTTTCACTGCCAACATATGGTTGGGGTAGTTGATTGATTTGTTCTGTCCTGTTGTGGTGCCAGGAATCCTTTGCAGGTTTCGATAGACTGCCATATCCTCCATGTGCAGCTGGTTATGTTGTCCACTGCTCTGTCTGAGCCTCTTAGGAGGCTTGGCTCTGACACTTACACTCCATGGCAGACCATGGAACCTGCACTTCCCTTCGTGGTTAGGGTTCTGAGTCTGGCAGTTTGATTGGGGAGATCTCCAAAGAGACTTTGAGGTGATCCCAGACCAGATTCTTGTGTGTACTTGCAAGTACAGGGCCTGGCACAGTCCATTGCCCCAATCAGCAGGTGGTGGCAATTACTGAGTCGATTCTGTTTCCAGCCATGTCTTCCACTGGAATCAATGGGTGTTGCAGTCCAGCCTGATTCTGCCCAGCACAGACTCGGCCCTCACATAAACCAGTAGGAGCTGCAGCCTAGTCAGAGCGACCCACAATAATTCCCACCTGGCCTGCCCACTACGCTGGTTCCCATGCTTGTGAGTATGTGCAGTAGACTAGACCAGTCTGTCCCACATCCCATTCAGCTTTCATACATGTCAATGGGCATTGAACCCTAGCTTAACCCAACCAGCCATACTATCCAGCCCACACACATACTGTCGGAGGCCTTTCTGTGTAGCCACCCCTGCCCTAGTCCTGGTTTTCATGCTCTCCAGTAGTAGTGGTAACCAAGAGGGAAGTGCCCATTAATTCCCTCCTAGGCCACTCTTACTCCCAGATCATGCATTCTCCTGGTGGTTCTATAGTTTAACTTGACAGATTAGCCACCTGTGACAGCATCTGCTATCTGATGTGGCAAAGCCCAACCAACCCTCATCCACTCTAATTTTTGCTTGCATCAGTCGGAACAGTCAGCCCAACCTGGCTTTTCCCTGATCTAGCTCACATGAGGCCCATACATATTGTAGCCCTGTCTAGTCTTGTGTGCCCCCATCCCAACTCATGTTCTCCGGTGGGTGAGGTGTTCCAGCAGGGGGCCCTCCACACTCCCCCTACCAGCTTTACCCCTCCCTCCCTGGTTCCTACTAGTGCTGCGGCCCAGTCTGGCATGGCCCACCTCCCTTTGACATTTGCTAGTGGGTGCTGTAGCCTGGCCCAGCCTGGCCCACCCCCAATTCCAGCTGGTGAGGGTTACAGTCTAGCCCAGCCCAGCATACATCCTATCCAAGCTGTAATGTGTACTGGTATGTGTTGCAACCATACCTGGCCCAAACCAACCTGTTCTGGTACACGGATTTGTCAGCGGCTGAGGTGAACTGATTTAGCCCGGTCTGCCCTGACCTGTGCCAAATGTATGCTGGTGGATACCTTTCCCTGGCCTGGTCTGGGCTGTTCCTTACCGTGCTTCTTGTGCTTACCTGCAGGGATTGTGTCCTGCCAGAGGAGTTGCCCAGGCTCCTCCATCAGAACCTCTCCCAATGCTAGATTTCTTTCTTTTAAAATTTAATTTAATTTAATTTTTATTGCAAAGTCGTATATACAAAGAGGAGGAGAGACAGAGAGGAAGATCTTCCATCCAATGATTCATTCCTCAGGTGACCGCAACGGCTAGTGATGTACCGATCCAAAGCCAGGAGTCAGGAACTTCCTCCAGATCTCCCACACAGACACAGTGTCCCAAGGCTTTGGGCCCTCCTTGACTGCTTTCCCAGGCCACAAGCTGGATGGAAGTGGAGCTGCTGGGATTAGAACCGGCACCCATATGGGATCCTAGCACTTCCAAAGCGAGAACTTTAGCCACTAGGCCACCACACCGGGCCCCCAGTGCCAGATTTCGCACATATTGGTGGGTCCTTGAGCCAGTTCTACTCAATCCACTTCCTGTTCTAGCAGGACAGTGGCCTTTGCTGACTGGCCTTCAATCCATTCTGGTTCTTACTGTTGGATGTTTCAGCCCAGCCACAACTCGTTCATATCCAAACACAGCTCACACATGGTTCAGTAGGGGCAGAGACCTAGCCTACTCCATCCTACATCTTCCCAGGTCCTCCAGAGCATTAGATGGTGCTGGAGTCTAGCCTGGCTTGGTGTGTCCAGTCCTAGTCCACAAAGGAGACTACAGCCATATCCAGATCAGAACATAGCTCCCACTCTAGCCCCCGTGCTCCTCGGTGGGAATCCCAACCCAGTGAGTGTGTCCTCTTAGCTCCCCAGCCAGGCCTGTTCCCAGCCATAGATCACATGCATGCCAGTGCTTGCTCTAACTCAGCTTGGCACAGCCCCTCACCTGTCTTTGCATTTGCCCTAGATGCTGTGGCCTAGTGTCCCTGGCTCATGCATTCCAGTAGGTGCAAGAGCCTAGCTCAGCATGACCTATGCTCCATCCCTTATTTCTGTTTTTGCTTGTGAGCTAAGGTTTGCTCGGCCCTGCCTAGTCCACCCTGTTCCAGTACCAGTCCACACATTAGCCAGCCATTGGAGCTACTTTGCCCAGCTTGTCTGACCCCCAAGCCTGAACTATGTGTTTACCAGTGGGAGCTATGACCTGCCAGGGGAATTTCCCAAGTTCCTCCACACGATCAACTCCCAGGCCCAGTTCTCATACATGCCAGTGGTGTTAGGCCAGTGTCCGGCATAGTCTGACCTTCCATTTGGCCCTGTATGAGCTGGTGAATGTTGCAGCCCAGTTCACCCCACACCCCATTTAGGATGCACATTTGGATGCTGCTGCCTTGGCCAGCCCAGATTGTTGTCACTTCCTTTACCCGTGAGTGATGGCAGGCTCCTTGGTCACACCTAGCTGAGTCCATCACCACCCCAACACTTGAGCTAACCAGTGCGACTAGTATTTCCATAAGGTTTGGCCCAACATCCCCCATAGAATCTATCCCCGGAAATGGTTCTATCGTGTGCTGGTTAATGCCATGTCCCTGCCTGATGTGATCCGTCTCCTGATCCCTCATTCTGTCAGCTAAGCCCCAGCCTTAGCTTTTGCATGGATTAGTATATGGTGGTCAGCATTGTTCAGTGATAACAAGTTCTGCAGAGGACTCAAAGGAGGCTGGTATATTAGTCTGAGCCATAAAGATCATCTGGTCACTCTCCTTGAAACTACCTGGTCTTAGTACCCTCGCTTACCTTCAAAGGAAAAGTTACTCTGTCATTGGGAGTCTTCGGGATTGATTCGCAATCCAGAAGCACAGTGGGCTCAACATGGAGGTGTGTAGGCAGCAGTTCATAGTCCCACAACCCCAGTGCTTGCTTCTGGAGCTTGGGCAGGCCCCGGGGAGAGCTCACTTTGTGTTCGTGGTGGCTGGAATTAGGGCTCCGAGCATGGAGTCGGACCTGGCCTGAGACCTCCAGCAGCCAACAGGCTGCAGGAAGTTCTACCTCTTGTTAACTATTTCAAAAATACCTTTTCATTCCAACCAGTGAATCTGTTGACTCAGCTTGAAAAAATGTTGGGTTATGAATTCACTGAAATATAATGGGGGGCGAGGCTGTCCTCAATAGATGTACTGACCTGGTCACCCTTCCCTTCTTTAACAGGTTTTGTATTTTTTAACAGTATTTGCTTTGCATAATTGTAACTGAGTCTCAGGAGGTATAATTTCTAACTCATTTGTTTGTTTTATGTTCAGTTTGTGCAATATCCATATCGTATTTAGAGATTCTAATTTGGAGCCATGCTAGATTATTTGTGGTTAAACTTAACTGATCTTTATCTTTTCTAGGGCTACGAAACTTTACAGAGGAAGCTTGATTGCACTCTGCATTTCCAATGTATTTTTCATGCTTCCATGGCAGTTTGCACAGTTTGTACTTCTTACTCAGGTAAGATGATTATGTTTTTATAAGATTACTGCATTTGGTTATGTCAACTCATTTGTGTAAAATTACAATGGAGATGTTACAATTCTTAAGCCCTAAAATGTTTCCTGCTTAATGCTCTTGAACAAAGTTTAGGGTAGCACAATGTGTAAGATATTGTTAATGAATGTTGATTATGCATTTATTAAAGTACAATTTTCACGAATGCAAATATTTGGTAGTGTGCTTAAAAGACCAGTTTAGGACTTTAAGTATTCCTCCCAAAAAACTATAGTCTTTCTCATAAGTAAAAGGTATTTCTTTTATGAATAGTGCCATATGTTTTTACATATTGGTTAAATATACATAGGATAATAGCATAAATAGCAAACCAGCTCCTGTTTTATATTATTCCATTTACCAATCTGAAGTTTATTTATCAGCTTTTCATGTGTTGTAGCGTGCCTTCAGATAAAGGTATACAAAGGCAGAGTTTGCGGAGAGAGGGAGTAAATGGTGTGTTGTTTTTGCCCCGCTTTCTGGTTTTTTTTTTTTTTTTTATAATGGCAGTAGTGTTGTTATAAAGCAGTTGAAACATTGCATTTTAACATTTTTTGAAATATCTTGTTGGGAAATGAAGTTATAGCTCTATTTGAATCCTGATTCTGTGTAATGTGTAATGGCTTATTGAGATGGACAGAAATCTTCAGTTGAAGTTTTTCTCATTTTTGATATGGGAAAATAATTAAGAGAACCCTACTTTATTGGGTTGTTTCTCAAATGAGTTAATGTATAGAAGACGCTGGCATAGTGCTTGATAGCCAAGTGTTAGTAATATTGAATGCTTTTGTCATTATTATTTTAAAAATGGCTTTATTTGTATTTACTTGTTACTTTGACCTTTTAGACTCTTGTGTTAAGTTTTACCCCATTTTTAATCAGTTTCTGGTTTAAATTATTTCTGTGTTCTCCCCTTAAGATTCTACCTTTGGATGGTTGCTGGCTCAGCCTCTACAATGTAAAAGGAACTTCCTCATTACTTTGTTAGTGGAGCTGGCCTGCTTGTTTTTGGCTTTGAGGCTTCTGTTGAGTAATAGTACACTCTTGCACACAGTACATCCCGTGTCACCCTGCATCAGTGCAGTGTCGCCCGTGGGTCCTTTGGAGTATGAAGAAACCTTGTTGTTCTTGCTGCATAGGGGGGAATTTGCTGTCGATTTCTTGAAGATAAAGAGTTGATGAATAAAGCTCAGTGTGTTTAAGAATTTGGCTGTTTTGCATTTGTTTATACTGTGTGTAGTAGAAGAGGCATAGGATAAATTTGAATTCTTCATGAAGGAGGCAAGAAATGCATAGTCTGAGATAATATCTTCAAGCAAGAAGAGCGCTATCTTCATTTACTCAATTGGTGGTTCTAAGGAGTTCTAGAATTCTTAGCTTTCCTGAGTAATATGGTGCAGTTTTCTTCAGAATGGGGGAAAAAACCTCCCTTTGTGGTGAAAGTGCTTATTCTAATATGAAGTTTGTAGCTAGCAGTTGAATATTTGTGCTAATGAAAGAGAACACTAATGGATATGTTTGCAAAGTGACTGGCAATCAGAACTGAATATATTTTATACATGTGTGTATTATGTAATTATTTTTGGGTTTTATGTATGCGTTTTAGTTATGCGTTTGTAATTGTGTATGTAGGCCTTTGAGTCAACCTTATGTTAGAATGAGTGGTGTTTAACGAATAGCCCAGCCAAGTAGGAAATCATGCTGTTTATTTACAGATCTGTGTATGGGGTTTTTCATTAACAGAGAGTTGCTGTATCAATGTATCGGTCATATTCAATGAAAGGAAAAATTTTAAATCAACTTTTGTAACAACATGAATCCATTTGAAACAGCAGTAATCTTTTTTCATTCTTACAGTTATTCATTTTAGGTATACTTTTATTTTTAACTTACATTTTCTTTACATTTCAGATTGCATCATTATTTGCAGTATATGTTGTGGGGTACATTGATATATGTAAACTGCAGAAGATCATTTATATACACATGGTAAGTTTTTTTTTACTGCTTTTCTTTTAGTTTAACCTCTAAGTAAATTGGCTAATATTTGACTTATTTATTATTGAAACTAGTTGTAAAATGATTCCATAACTAAAGCAAATATCATTTAAACATTATAGTAAATCAACAAATCTGGTTTTAAATAGGTTGCCCGCAAAATTTTAATTTAGGTCATATCTGATTAGAGTTGTTCCTAAATTATACATTATTGGTAAAATAAATAATTCATGAAAGAGCAAACTTAGAATGAGATATAATCCAGGAGCTGCCTGTTAAAAGGAAGTGGAATGTTCATTCATTGAGCACGTACTTCAGGCTCGGCAACACATCAGTGACTGAACTACAGAGGTCTGGCACTTGTGTTGCTGACATTTAGCGCAGTGGGGAAAGGAGAAAGACAGAAGAGAAGTAGTGAGTTCAGTAAATAAATGGTGAAAGGTGAAAGAGATTATAGGACAAAAAATAAATCAGGGCGACTTTAGATAGGCATGTCAGCATGAAGGATTGTGGAACAAAGATTGGAAGGAGAGGGAATGAACTCAGTAGATGGTGCTAAGAGGGGAACATTCTAGTTTGTGGAAATAGCTAGTACAAAGGTCAGCATTTTTAGAAACAATTTGTCTCCTGTCATTAGTGTTATAACGTTGGTATTTTCCTTTTCTAATGATTTTAATATTATTATAATAGACTATTGTTATTTTTTATTTCCTGATAATTGACATTTTTAGTGTCCAGAGCAGGTAGGAATGCAGTTATAAAACAATCAGGTGAGCAACCTTAAAATGAAAAAAAGAGCCTTAGTATTCCCTGAAGTCTGCAAGCCCCCAACGTATCCCCTTATCTGACATGGACTTTGTCATTCCCTTGCTTCTCTGTGTAAGTTTGCCATATTTGCGTTTGTTTTTGCTTAGTAACAAAAACAAAGCCTTGTTTTTAAAGTTTATACAAATGATGTTCTTTTGTGAAACCTCTTTGCCCATTGATCTGGGTTTTGTGTGTTCCTGGAGTTCAGATATTTCCACTGCTTTAGGTTTTCTGTTGTACTGTTTATCTGCTTCCTTGGTGAAGGGCATTTAGGCTCTTCACCTATGCTAAGCTCTGCTATTCCTCATGAATAATTCTGTTCACATCTCCTGAGGCTTAGAGATTAAGAATTTTTCCACATTTACTCAGTAGTAGGCTTGCTGTGTGATGAATGACGCATCTTTTAAACGTCATAAGACCCAGTGTTGTTCTACATCCATTTTTATTTTTCAATCTGGAGGTTACAGAGTGGTGTTTTGTGACCTTAATTTGCATCTTCTCTTACTGTTGACAAAACTGAGTGTCTTTCTTTATGTTTATGGGCTATTCTGTGCTTCTGCTTTTGTGATAATTCTGTTTGTATCTTTCACCATTTTTTCTCAGGCTCAAGCGAAAATAGCATCTATTGAATTCAGTGCAGTGTATTCTGTTATTTTTATTTGCATTGATGCTTGCATTATTCCAGATTTGTCCTACCATCCAAATAATCTCTTCTGTTCTTTTAAAAAGAGTCTCTTCACTGTGTTGAGTACTTTTAAAAACAAGTTAATAAATATTAAGCTTTATGAAATGCTTTTCTTTTATTTAGATGTCCCTATCTGTTTTGTACTGTTTAAACTGTTACCATGGCAAATTACTATTAGTTGACTTGTTAATGTTAAAATTGCTTTTCTTGGCTAAGCTCAAATTCTTTTTATATTGCTGGATTCAGTTTTTATCATTTTGCTATAATTTTCATGCCTGCATTCATATGTGAGTTATACAATAAGTATATATTTTTAATATTTGGCTTTTTTCTGAAATTGCTTAGTACAGTTTTTAAATTTGCAATATAAATCAGATTATGTGGTAATCATTCAGAGTTGGCCAGTCACATTGTCAGATAGGCAGCTATAGCTGAGGGCTTCAACTCAGATCTACTTCTTAAAGAACTGAAGTTATATAGGTTCAAACAGTGGAAGCTATCTTGGGAAAATACTGTGTTTCATAATAGGATTTACTATTCTGTGTCCTCTTATCACTTTTCTGGATTCCCAAATTCTTAGGGTTTACATAAAAATATATATATAGAATTGTCCCTAGGAAGGGTTTTTATTCTTTTTAAATAATTTTCTTGTTGTAGTAAAATACACATAGCAGACTTTTCCATCTGAGCCATTTTTAAGTGTCTACTCCCATCCGGTTTCTTCCCTGCCCCTTGATTCCTACCTTATTTTGGTTAGTTCTTTGAGATGTAAAGTTATGTTGTTGTTGATGAGAAGTTTTGTTTTGTAATCTACCACTTATAGGACTATAAGTTTCTTTCTTAGCATTGCTTTTCTTTCATGTAAAGTTTTTGATATATTGAGTTTTCATTTCCATTTCCCTCTATTTTCTAATTTACTTTTGTGATTCCTTCTTCGGGCTGTTGGTTGTTTCATTTTCACAAATTTTTAAATTTTCAAGTTACTCTATTTTTATACCTTCCTAATCTGCTACTGTTGTGATCACAGAAGATAGTTAAAAAAAAATTTTTTTTTATTGGAAAGGCAGATTTACAGAGGAAAGGAGAGACAGAGAGAATAATCTTATGTCTTCTGGCTCACTCTACAAGTGGCTTCAACTCCAGAGCTGTGCCCATCTGAAACCAAGAGCCAGAAGCCACTTCTAGGTCTCCCATGCAGGTGCAGGGTCCCAAGGCTTTGGACCGTCTCTGACTGCTTTCCCAGGCCACAAGCAGGGAGCTGATGGGAAGTTTAACAACTGGGCACAAACCAGCATGCATATGGGATCTTAGTGGTTTCAAGGCAAAGATTTAGTCACTAGGCAATCACGCTGGACCCCATGAAAGATAATTTTTTGTATTCATTTTAACTAATAACGTATTAGGAAATTTTTAGTTATTCTTAAATCTTAGCATTTATGGACTGGAAGTATTGTCATTAATTTTTTAGAATTTGGTTATTTACCCATGTAGCAAGTTTGTGAGAATAAAATATGACAAATAAAGATCGTTACAGGAATGCATTGGGGATTCTGATAATATAATTTATCAGTTTAAAAAGTTTTGAGAAAGATTAATAGCATGGTTGTTTCCCTTGATGTGATAGCTAATAAGTCCACATTTATTTCTGAATTCTGACATCTTAGAAGTAAAAATAAATCTTACTGAAAGTTATATCTATATGTGTATATATAGATATTTGTGTATATATTTCTATATGTGTGTGTCTACACACATACCTCATTCCAAAGCCAGCATCACATAGTATAATGAATCACCCAATGAATGGGAATTAGTCCCATTCATGCCAGAAGCATGACAAATATGTCTATTGCCATTCTTATTACTTAACATTGTTGCAGAAATATTACCCAATACAATTGGCTGGAAAAGAAAGAGTTTAAAAATAGGAAAGGTAGTTGTAAGGCATCATTGATAGCAGGTGATATGATTTGAATACTTGAGAAATTCAAATTAGTAAACATTGGAAACAGGAAAAGTTATATTCATTGTGTACTTTGATTTAATGTATTTTTCTATATATAAACAATGATCTCAAAATATGGAAAAAGATTGTTGATATAATGCCAGCAGAAACAATATACTTTAGAATAGAGAAATATGTAGGTTTAAATGAGGGAAACGTACTCACTAAAATATGTAAAATAAATTGAAGAATAAATAAACATTCTTTTTAATATAATATCGCTGGAATGTTAGATATAAGTGCACTGTGCGTTTTTGAATAATTTTAAAAATTCTTTTTGAAACTTAAGCTTATAAAATTTACATAAAAATGTATGTGTGGATTAAACATAAAACTACTTGAAAGGAATACAAATTGTTTTTAAAAACTTTGTAAGTAAGGGAACAAATCCTAGAGACTTATGGGAAATGAATGATAAATTTGACATTAAATTTTAGCAAATTATCATAATAAAATATCACAAAGATAAAAATGAACTGTGAAAATCACTTATAAAATATTAACTTATAAGGAACTTGTGTTCTGAAATATTTATAAGAGTTCTTATGGAAAATAAACCCCAGCAAAATAATAGTCTGGATAAGCAGTTCACACAAATAGCCAATGGGAGAGACAATGCTGTGTGTCTTCCAGTATTGAGTGAATGGACAAGGCAGACAGCGAGATGGCACATTTTGTCCTGTCGGCCATGGACCTTCTCAGTAGTAGTGACAGCATGAGCTGTAGGGAGCCTGACCGAAGCTCTCCTACCTTACAGGTGAGAGAGATCATCATCAGTCTTTGGTTTTCGTACAAGTTTAACAGTGTCTGTATCTTTGACTCATCAATTCCACTTCTGGTAATTTATCCAAATGTATTGACATAGAATTATGATGTACAGATAAGAATATTTGTTATGCCAGTATTAGTATAAAAAAAACAACACAACTGGGCCTGGCGCGATAGCATAGTGGTTAAGGTCCTCGCCTTGCACACACTGGGATCCCATATGGTCACTGGTTCTAATCCCAGCAGCCCTGCTTCACATCCAGCTTCCTGGGAAAGCAGTCGAGGACAGCTAAAGCATTGGGACCCTGCACCCATGTGGGAGACGTGGAAGACCTCCTGGCTTCGGATTGTCTCAGCTCCAGCCATTGCGGCTGCTTTGGGAGTGAACCATTGGATGGAAGAACTTCCTCTCTGTCTCTCCTCCTCTCTTTATATCTATCTGCCTTTCCAATAAAAATATAAATAAATCTTAAAAAAAAAACATGATCTTCAAAAAAAAGAAACACCCAACTGGTGAGTGCGTCAGTGTTGAACAGATTCAGAGGATCAGTTACATAGATTATGGTGCCTGCGTGGAGTCGGATGCTTTCTTCAGTGCTTTCCACAATGAATCGACTGTTTTAGGGTGATACGGAAAACTCTCGAAACATCCTCAGAGTAAAGTCAGGAGTTAGTGTAGATCATAGGAGACTGCATTTGTGCGTGTGTGTATGTAAAGCGTGAAAACAAGGGTTCATACACGTTGACGCCTAGTTGGAAGCACAAGGGTGATGGTTGGCAGTGATCATTTCCAGAAGGGTGAAGCATTCCATCTTGAGGGTGTATTCCCCATTGAACAGCTTATATTGTGTTGGTTGTGGGCATGTGCAATTTATACGATAAGAACAAACACTTTATGTGCATTAATTGTATTTTTCTTGTACCTTTCTAGATTTCTCTCGCACTTTGTTTTGTTTTGATGTTTGGGAACTCGATGTTATTAACATCTTACTATGCTTCCTCTTTGATAGTCATTTGGGTAAGTGTTGTTTAAGCATGGGACTGATGTTCAAGCTAATGCTATCCGTTTCTTGATCACTGTCTTGGGCTGTGTGAGGAGTTTCTGGAAGAACTGTTTCCTGCGTCTTACTGAATGTATCTACGTGTGACAGAATGTTCAGTTTCTCACTTTCAGAACTTCCAAGATGGGGAAATATCCCTCCAGAAATGATACTATTAGCACAGCACCTCACTTCAGATTCCAGTCTGTCCTTTGCTTCTCTTTCCTCAGTTTTTGTATCACCTAAGTTTTAATCACAGGCTTCATTTCAACAAGTTTGTGTGCTGAATTTTTCCTTCCTTATTTTCAGCATCATTCTAAATGCAGAATTCTTTTAAAATTTAAGCTTCTAGGAATGGCTATGCCTTTTTTTCAGTGTTTTGCAAACCCAAGTTCTTTCTCATATTCAAAGTGCGTGCGCTTTGCTGTAGGTAGTATTCTAAAGACAAATGCATTTGTTGCCCTGAATGAGTTGAAATGTCTGCTTCTTGCATAGTCATTCAAGCTATTTAGATCTTTTTGGCTATTTTGGTTTCTAGAACCATTAACAAATTTGGACTCTCCTGCAATTACTGTTTAAGAGCCCATTTCCCAAATTAGCAATATACTCCTCCTATAATTTACATGGTGCATTGGCTAGTAGTATTATTGCCTGCAGAGAAGTACAAGACTTGCTGCTTATGTACAGGGGACCTGTTGAAATCAGTACTGACTTGGAATAAACTCTAAAGTACATGGGAGTTTATCTACCTAGAAAGATATAAAATTTTATAGAGAAATATTTAAATCAGTAAAATTTTGTTTGTAATTTATCTGAAGTTGCAGTTTTTAAATTAAGGAAAGTATTATACCTGTGTAACTGCTTTCTAAATTCTAAAATTGTTATTTATCTCTTGGTTCTTAGCTAATAAGCTATGGTAAAACCAATCATAGGAATTCACATTTGCTCACCATGTTCAGTCATATGAATTTACTAACTGACCTGACCTACTTTGTATCAAATAAAGCTGTTTTTAAGTTATGTATTACAGAAGTGAGTTTATGGAGGTGCTGTGTGCAGAATCAACCTGTGTGCTGAATTTTAGATTCTTTAGTGTAATAACATAAATTTTTGGTACTTGAATTTATAAATATTAACTGTTATTTCCTCTTTTCAGGGCTTGCTAGCAATGAAGCCACATTTTCTGAAAATAAATGTATCCGAACTTAGTTTATGGGTAAAAATCAATCTATTTTAATGCATGTATTTTCCTTATCTAAAATTTATTATTGGCTTTATGTTCTAGTTTTAATGAAATGATCTATATAATGCAGGGCATCTGACAGTTTTAAAACATATTAGGGCTTAGTCTTGATATGCCGAATCGCCCTTTTCATGGAGCCTGTTAAAATTAATCTGTGATAAAGAATTTCAGTTTTGTTTATTATCTGTGGTTTTTCCTGAATTGCAGTTCTTCTAGGAAGCACTTGTACAAGGGGAATTTAGCTCTTAAAATATCTTAAATTTGATAATAAATTTTTAGTTTTAGTCTTGATTTTGGAGAAACTAAATGAAATGTGTTTTCTCTTAGAGAGATTTTTTACATTTATTTATTTTCCATTTCATATTTATATAATTAGAGCACTTACTTTTTTCTTCCTTGGCTATGGAATTTCAGTCATCATACTTAGTTAAATTTTGTTTCTGTTTTGTAGGTTATCCAAGGCTCTTTTTGGTTATTTGGAACTGTAATTCTGAAGTTTTTGACTTCCAAAATCTTTGGTATTGCAGATGATGTAAGTGTATTTTTACTTATTCTTGGAAGACTTAAAATAATTAATAGGCCAAGAATGTATGATTTGTATTGTAAAATTATCACTACTTAACTAGATTCTAGGATGAAGTCTATTCACTTGCTATTTTACCTACTTAATATAATTGTCAATAAATGTGATTTTATGCATAGTTTCTATTATCCAGAATTAACTTCTTGACAAATTCTCTTATTGACCCCTTCTAATCATGAAGTTTTAAAAAATGTAATACTAGAAAATTGGAGCGATCTAAGGTCTGTGAATCCATTTTTCTTTTTTCCTGCCTTCCTTCTTTCCTGCCTGCCTTCCTTCCTTCCTTCCTTCCTTCCTTCCTTCCTTCCTTTCTTTCTTTCTTTTATTGATTTTTTTGTTGATTTGAAAGCCAGAGTTAGAGAGTGAGAGATCCTCCATCTGCTGACTTTTTCCTCAAGTGATCACAATAATGTGCGCTGGGCCAGGCCACAGCGGGGGAACCCAGAGCTTCATCCAGGACAGTTGGATGCCTTCAGCTGCTTGTCCCGTTCTGCCAGCAGGGAGCTGGAGCAAAAGCAGAGCATGTGGACATGAACCAGGGCCCAATGCAATACTGGCTTGCAGGTGGCCCAATTTTTAAAATTCAGAAAGGATAAAAAAATCCGTGTTTGTAACAAATGGGAGCACTATTTTCCGACCCTTAACTAGAGATCATATTGTCGTATTACTGTTTAATCCCCTCAAATTTTCGGAGGAATTCTAAAATATTTTTGAGCCTTTAGCAATAATTTAACATAAGAGAGTCTTATTTAGAGAAGTGTTTGTGTAGGAGAGAAAGTGAGGAAAGAATTTTGCTTTATAACTTTAAGGATTCTTTGCAAGTATGATTGCTGTCCTGGTTGGGTGTTTTATTATTAAAACATCTTAAATCAGGAGGCCATCAGAAATTTAGTGTTTTTTTTTTTTAAGATTTATTTTTTATTTTTATTGGAGAGGCAGATATACAGAGAGGAGAGACAGAGAGGAAGATCTTCTGTCTGATGATTCACTCCCCAAGTGAGCACAAACGGCTGATACTATGCCGATCCGAAGCCAGGAGCCTCTTCCAGATCTCCCGTGTGGGTGCAGGGTCCCAAAGCTTTGGGCCGTCCTCGACTGCTTTCCCGGGCCACAAGCGGGGAGCTGGAAGGGAAGAGGGGCCGCTGGGATTAGAACCGGCGCCCATATGGGATCCTGGGCATGCAAGGCGAGGACCTTAACCACTGCGCCACCGTGCCGGGCCCCAGAAATTTAGTTTTAAAAGAAAGCAGTTTGGCACAGAAAAAGTAAAAGGAGCCACCTATATATATATATATATATTTTTTTTTTTTTTTCATCCTCCACTAGATTAAAACTTTGGCTTTTGAAGCTGGGTTCTAGGAAGTCCGGACTGGCCATGACTCTTGCAGGGGACCTGTCTGCTCTTTTATCGACTCTTTAATAGTCTCTGACGTACTATTTATGTAACTTTTTTTCCCCCCAATGAAGGAGGTGATTTTTGCTTTAAGCCTGGTTTAAAACAAAACAAAACAAACAAACAAACAATGGAAACTGCTCTTAAGTGAGTTTGCACAACCTGTGCAAAGATTGTGAAGACTTTACCAAGGGAGAAGCCTGAGCTTGGTGTGCGAATGAGAGGCCATGCTAGAGTGTAGGAGCTATCACTTGGCAGCACGGGGGAGAGACATTGTGAGCGTGGAGGGCACAGCACTTTGCTTAACAGAAGCAGGTCTAATATGGGAATAGTGGGTTCCATAAGGGTATGAAAGCTATTTTTAGATATCACTTAAAATGCATTGTAATATTCAACTAAATGCAATGATCCCTCACTTTATTTCTTGCTAGGCTCACATTGGCAATTTATTAACATCAAAATTCTTCAGCTACAAGGATTTTGATACTTTATTGTATACCTGTGCAGCGGAATTTGACTTTATGGAAAAGGAGGTGAGTTGAGATTTCTCATGTTCTTTCCTTGGGTTTTAGCCCCTTCATTATTCAGAAAAGGGACTCCTGTTATTTCAGACACTGTGTGTTCTTATCACAGTTTGAAGGAAAAGGAAAATCTGGCAGCTTAGATAAGATGTTCCAGTTTATTTGTACAGCGCCTTTAACTAGAAGGCCCTTCTCATGTTGGTAATCTGGAACTAGGCGTTTGGACTTGCATGAGGAAACAGAGGCATTTCGAGTTGCTTCCTTTCAGTGACAGCATTGATCTATAAGTCAGGCACTCAGGTTCTTACGTTTCCACCCATTTTGTGATGGTTTGAATGATCACATTGCTTTGCAATATCTGAGTATGAATCTGTCATTGAAATATCCTTCTTCCTGAACCTATCCTCAAAAAACTGGGAGATGGGAGCCTTCAATATTACTACTTACTGGTCATGAACAAATGGTTCTCCTTTAGGTTATAATTGACCTTAGCAGTATCCTACAGACAGGAATTGTGGAGACAAAATGTGATAATACATAGGAAAATACTTCAGTATTTTAATATCATTTCACAATACCTCATGAGCTGGTTTGATTCAAAAACGTGTTTGTATACTTTTTACTGCTGCTCATGTGGCACTGATTGACTGTGTTTTGTCATCTGTGATGTATCTCCACTCAGAGCTGTTGGTATGTGTGTATCAAACTGGCCAGTGACACCTCATGACACACTTGTTTCCCCATGATCCCACTACATTAGCCCACTGTCCTGAGTTCTAGACCAGTAGACTTTGAGCAATGTGTGCTAGCTCTTCTCAGCTTGCCCTTCAAAATGTGTTCTGCAAATCCACTGTTCACCCCCAGGCCCTGTTAATCTTCACTTACTGTGTTCTGGCAAGTGACTTGACACAAAATGGGTAATCAGAAAAGATACGTGAGTGATAGTGCTGAAAGACACAAAGAAAATATGTTGTGAGACACTAATGCATGTTCACAGGAGATCCAGATTCCTTCAGGGCAGTGATACAGAACATAGAGGGTAAACATCAAGACCGGATTAGGATGCATTGGAAGCCCATCAAAATAATTAAAGATATCATATGTGCCACTGTTCCCTGAGAGTACTAACCTTTGGTTATGTGGTGAAAGAATTGTTTGTGGAAGCACAGCATGATTTCAGTTGATTTGGAATGAATGCAAGGCCCTTGGTTCCATTGCTCATCCCTTAGAGCATAAGAACTCTGCTGCAGGGATAGAATGTGGTGCAGTACAGGTAGTGCGTCCCTGTTAAAAAATATGAGGAGTATTTCACATGGTATTTCATAATGTGCTGTCAGACTAACAATATAAAATACTTCAGATATGTCATGTCAGAAACAGAATGCTGTGACCAACGAGTGAAGCACGTGGAGTAAAGAAGAGCAAAATTTTAACTTTCTTTTTCTTTCAGATGATAAACAAAAGACATGTGTAATTATAATGTGTGGGGCTTGTGTGAGGCTTTGTTTCACAAACTTTTTTTCCTCAGTACCAGTAAGGCTTGACTTACTATATTTCCTCAGGAAGAGGAGAACTAATAAGGAGAGTCAGCCCAGGGGGATAAAAGTGTTTAGAAATGGGAAAATGAATGCCTAGTACAGCAAAATTTAAGCTTCAGATACGCAGACTTAGTTGCTATGTCTAGGCTACCAGAGACCAAGGGGACTTAGTCTCCTGAATTTAGGACTGAGGAAAGGGGTTTGAAAAAGGCCTGACACAAGGTTTTCTGCCCCTCAACCTTCCCTTGAATTGGAGACTTCATAGAGAGCTTTGGTTTGTAGGAGTAAACATAGAGTTACACTTCTCTTCTACCAAATCATCTCATGGATACTTTGTCGTAAGTTTCTCTCACCGAGTTAAAGGTTCCTGCCTGAGTGACTTGGGTATACATTCATAGCTCTCTTCCTGAAAAGACACCATTTTCTCTTTGCGTGGAAGGCCCCCCCAGTTTCTTCTCTGTTAGGATATAACAAACCCTTTAGTGTCTTTAACTTTTTGGTGTGAATTACATCAATAAATGGTCTTGACTTAGGAAGCTAGGAACAAGGGATGGAAGGTTCATCCATCCATCCATTCATTAAGGTTCATGAATTTTACACAAATGCTTTAGAGTTATGGGGATGCCCAAGAACTAAATGTTCACGTGGGGGTGTGTAGATTTTGTTTTGTGGATGGGAAATGGAGAAGGTAGGGCAGGAGTCAAGATTTAAATGTGGAATATCCAAAATAGGCTAGGAGAAGGGGAACACAGAAGAAAAACTAGTGTGAGATCCTCACTTCAAGAAGAGCTCCCCTTCCCTGCAAATCCATATCTGAGTTCTTTTTGTTTGCTGCAAAACTTCAGTCGAAGGCACTTCAGCCTTCAAACTCATCCTTACCAGCTCACTTTTTTTTTTTACCCACATGTGCAGGCGCACACACACACACACACACACACACACACACACACGCACGCACGCACGCTGTTGAGTGTAGTGGGCCTGGTTTAATCTGGTGCTGGATCAGTCCGTTGTTTAAAGCAAAAGACCTGTGTCCTCTCGATCAGGCAATCCTAACTGGCTTCCTCTCTGAGCCTTACACTTAGTTCAGCTGTTAACTTGCCTGTACCACTTTTCCATGTTTAGTGTTCAGTTTTCCAGGACAAGGAGCAGGTCAAGTCATGGGGCAGCCCAATTAACACCTCATCTCCCATGAAATATTCTCAAGGAGGGGCACGGTTTTAAGAGAGAACACCGTCACAAAATAAAACAGTTTTAATTGGCCAGCTGAGGTGTTTAAACAGGCTGTGCATGCCAAATAGTTGTTCTTCATGGTAATTGAAACATAAAATATTCCTGCTGTGCAGACCTGGACCTGCTGCTGACTAATCCTAGAGATTGCTCCTGTACTTCAGAATGCAGTGTTGCAATGAAGGCCTTAGATTAAAATAGAAAAACTGGGATATTTATGATAAAACAAAAAGTTAAAATGCACGCAGTAGGTTGTTCCCACACAGTGCAGTTCACATCTTAGATAAAGTGGGGCTCAAGGTGAGCTTATCCAGGGAAGCAAATAAATAAAAGCACATTGGCCCAGAAGGGGGTAGGAAGGAGCTCAGGAGCAGTGAGCCTGCAACCCTTCCCATTAACAGCTCTATTGGTCATCACAACCCATTGCTTCGGATATTTCCCAGCACTGTCCAAGGGCTAGGTTGTGAGGAAACAGGATATGTGAAACCCAGCTGTATTCCTGCCGATCCTCTCCCAAACAATATAGGGGCCTATGGGTTGGGTCCAGTAATTTGGTTCTAGAACCAATCTTGGCACCAGGGTGAGGAAAGTGTTACTCTATATCCTCCCTTGAAAAGAAAACTTCTTCATCCAGGCAACTTTGTTTAGAAAGTTGGAGATTCTGAATGGGACCTCAGAGAAAGCATGTAGGCCCTCACTTGCATTTAAATACAATGTGCTTGGAATTCTTTGCCTTGCTCCTTCCTATGAACCTGCCTGAAATACCTTGCAGTGCCAGCTACCCCCAGCCCACCCTCTCCCTGCTTTATCTACTCTGCAGATAAAGCCTGTTCCTTGAAACTTCCTGGTAGCAAAGAATACCCCCCCACCCCACCCCGCCGCCAGTGTAGCCAAATTCTGGGCCTCAGGGAGCAAAACAGGTCTGTGGACCTCCTCTTCATCCTCCCAGAAGTGAGCTGACTTTGGGAGCCAGGGCCTGCTGAGTCTTCAGGGACACAAGGCCACCATAGGATGATGTTCTTGCAGAAGTGGTACTTCTTGGGCTGGGTGGCAGCATGCGTTCCAGTGCAAGGTGGTTTAGACCTCAACGGCTGTAGCAGTTTTCTGCTTTATATCTTTGCTTCTTCATGTTCTTCGCTATTGGCTGTCTCTCCTAGTACACAACACCAGGTCCATGAAGTGGATGGATTTCAGGTCCTTGACAAACTTTGAAAGGTGAACTCCACTGTTTGACTCCCCTTCAGACTCTGGAACCCCTCCATGTACAGTTTGCTCTGGTGCACAAACACATCCACTCAGCAGAGGAGGTCAGGCACTACCCTTATCCAGGTTATCGAGGACAGGAAGCCCAACCAGCGCACAGACTTTGAGCCACTTGCAGGGGCCTGCCTTGTGCAAAGCTTAGGCTTGTCCTCTATCCCACTGCATCCTTAAGTATCTTCACCACTGTGTTGGTTCAGACATCTGCAGATAGCTGTTTGGACACCTGTGGTCATCAGCTGAGTCCTAGTCGGGTAACTGCTGACCCCAAAGATGTCCCAACATAGAGGGATTGGGACTAGAGGCAGCCATATCTTTCTGTGCACTCTGTGGCTTTTTGCCCCAACGCCCCCTGCCTCAAATATCCCCCAAGTGTGTTTTGTTAGCTTCATAAACACTGAGCATTATTTTGTATGGATCTGTGTGTGGATGGCAGTGTGTGTGCATGCATGATGTGTGTGTGTGTACGTACACGCAGCGTGGGTGAAGTTGTTATCTTGCACAAGTGCATGCATTTAAAGGAGCTCTACAGGGGCACGTGTTTTGGTATAGCTGTTAAGGTGCTGCTTGAGACACTCACAGCCCCTGTGGATTTGAGTCCCACATTCGGGGAGACAACAACTCAGGTGCTTGGATCCCTCCAGCCCATGTGGAGGAACTGGACTGAGTTTCAGGGTCCTGGAGCTTGGAGAGTAAATCAGTGGATGGATGATATTCTCTCTCTCATAAACAAAAAATACATTTTTTAGAAGAGTTCAGCTAACATTGGAAGCGTGTTAAGCTTGACTCTACAATTGGACAAGGAACATGCAAATGGTGAAGAATAATTTCTCTGGTCACATTTCATTATAGCAAGTTTTGGGGAACTGTAGTTTCAGTGTTTTCAATTTCGCATTTTAGGGAAATTCATTTCTATGGAAATATGCCTTCGTTTTCATGATGGAAGTCAGTGGGTAGATCAGAATCTTGATGAGTGAATGTTCCTACTTCTCTATTTATAGTTTGAGAAAATCACCTGTTTATTATTTGAATGAGATTTTGTTTGGCTAAAATAATGTTTTTCTCTAACAAAACCTCTCTGAATTTCAGACTCCACTGAGATATACAAAGACGTTGTTGCTTCCCGTTGTTCTTGTAGTGTTTATTGCAATTGTTAGAAAGGTATGTCTATCATTTTATCATTTAAGAGCTGTCTTTTTATAAAAATAGCATTTCTTTGTTTTGGCATCATATTACGTATAGTTGACCTCATGTTCATGTGATGTAGTATTCTGTTTGGATTTACTGAAACATGAATTCTCTTACTGGTAGCTCCTCATGGACATTTATAAGCTTTCAAGGTATTCTGGTACCTTCTGAGATAATATACACACAGAACAGGGGTGATTCACATATTGATAGTCATATAATTTGGAAGACAAAGAGGTAGCAAATCATGCCCATTATAAAGCAACGGCCGAGTCAGACACTATACAGAACCCCTCCGAGGGCCACTGTGTGGTGTTCTGCTTGGCATTCTCACAGCACAGCGCCATTCTAGTCTGTTCCTGCCATGTATCAGCGTCTGTGTTACCGTTTTTATACTTTGGTTCTGCACCTGTTACGAACTCACAAGATTTGTACTATATATTGGCATTCAGAAGACAATGGCCTGGACATTAAGAGATGTTGAAAATGAAATCAGGCTAAAGAAGCTGAGTGGTTTGGTTTAAAAGAGAAGAAGTGTCAAATATTTTAAAACATACTATTTGAAAATAGGATTACATTCATTTTGGTCCTTTAGGGTGGTGACCAGTTCCAAAAGAGTGGACTTTCAGCCAGAAATGATCCGGGTTGTTTCAGAAAGGGTTACAGATTGAAACAGTAGCAGGGTGGTTCTTCCAAGGACTGGATTAAAACTTTGCATTGTTTTCATCAAAAGCATCCATACTGGGGATTGGATTTCAGAATCTGAATCGGTGGTAAATGTAAAGGCGCAGTGAGCATGTTTTGGATATGTGTACTTGTGGCGATCAGTTTCTGAGCCAGTTCTCCAGGTTTGTGTGTATATAAATAAGCAGAGGTGTTGTCAGTAATTTAGGCAGAGTGGAAGCAGCACAGAGTGTGAACTTGAAACCTGAAGAGCAGATTTCAGGCCCTAGGAGTGTTTCTGAATAGTTGACTGCCTTCAGGGAAATCATTTAATCCACCTGAGTGGTTGTTCTTTTGTAAAATGAGTATACTTTAATCTGTTTTTCAGGGTTATTGATATAGTCAAATATACAAATATAGGGCCATGTTGTTGTAGTTATTCTCAATTTTTCTTAAATTTTTAATAAAAATTTTAAACCTTAGAAGATAAAGTGTTTTCCTCTAACAACTTTTCTAAAATGTTTAAAAATTTATTTACAGATTATTAGTGACATGTGGTATGTCTTAACTAAACAGCAGACACATATAAGGTAAATATACTATTAAGCTTATTTTTTCTTCTGTTCATGTATTAAGTCTGTGCTGCATACCAATTTTATACTTGAAGTTTGATGCTTTCTGTTGTTGCCTTTCCTCTTGTCTTTTCGCTTTATTCTCTTCCTGTGCAGGCCACATCTAGCCTAATCTGACAGTAGCCCTGCATATAATTTATACTCTAAGGACACAGCTTTACATTGCTATTCAGCAAAGAAAGTAAATTTTTCTGTTGAGTGGTTTTAGATCTCATGGACTGCCTTTTGAGAAACGAGTAGGAGAATATAAAACTGGATTCAAACATAACTTTTTATACAAATAGATTCCAGAAAAAGATTTAAATATAGTCCAAAAGCCCCCTCCCCAAATGTTGAAATTAGCCAGATATGAAACTTTTGTACTAGTAGTACAGGTTGACAAAGTTGAATGAAGGAACTCATTGATATGGTAAAAAGTACAATAAGCATTGTTCAAAGATAAAGAACAAATCAGGGGAAATGTTTATGATCCATGACACAGGACTAATGACTGTAAGTTATAACAGACTTTTAATATGAAAAGATGATAAAAGCCATGAGGAAGATGAGTGAAAAACACAAATTGAAAAAAAATCTCCATCACGTCTTCTGTTTCCTACTATGCTCATGCCCCATGGACGCCCTTCTGTCTTCTTTAACCGCAGCAAGTTGTTTCCTGTCTGTGCAGCTTTGTGGGAGTTGCACCTGTCCCTGTCACCACCGTGCCCTCTCCAGCCTGACAGCATGACTCTTTTTGGCCTCCCTTAAGTATCTCCTTCAAGAAGCCTTTCCAGATCATCATTTCTGATTAAATTAGTTTTCTCTCTGCTTGCTGCTTACCATCACACTCTCTGTCTTTCTCTGTTGTTATCATCATTTGTTCTTAAATATTGATATTTTACCTGTATTTCCTGAAGGGATGGCCGATTTCTGTTCAGTTCCATTGTTGATATATGGTGGGTGGCACATGAGAATAATACTAGTTGAACAATGAATTATTTACATACAACCTGTGGAACATGAAAAGGTAGCCAGTCATATGGGAAAGAGATTAAAGTACAAAACAGTTACTAATTAGATCTGTGAAAATTAATGATATCCATGTATGCAGGGGTTAGAGGAAATACAAAATTATATAGCATGATTGCTTCTTTGTTTAAAATGTGGAGATTTTCTATGTTTATTTGTCCATCTATGTTTATCTGTAAGGATAAAACTTTCAGCTTGTAAGAGTGTAAGATTGGGAAACAGGTTGAAAGAAAGTTTGATTCTATTTTTATTTGAGGGGAAGGGATTACCAAATACACATGTCCATGTTTTCTTTTACGTATTAAATACTTACAGCCTTAATATTTTTCACTTCCTAGTCTCTACCAACACAATGATAAACTATTACTCATACTCCTGAGAAAATCTTTCTCATTTAGAAATAGTTCTCAATGGCTTTACCCTTGGTTATTATACTGAAGCGTTTGAGTTGAGAGCTGGGAGGAAAGGAAAGGGGCTCTGGTATACGCTACTGTAATTTCTTTGTTGGATGTGGAATTGTTTCTGAAGAACTTCAGAAAGAGCAGCAAGGTTATAGCTATAGTCCACATTTTTGGAAGAAGAGTAGATCTTCTGTCAGAAACAGAACTCTCCTTTCAAGAATAACAGAACTGTAGAAATAATTTTAGGAAGCCATTGAGTTTCAAGAATTCTTTTCTGGAAGTGTAACAGCATGCTGACTTTCTTTTTGTGTAAGAAGCAAAGTCATGTCATGTATACGAAGAAGAGAGGCAGAGGATTGATCTTTCATTATTAAAAAGTGACCACCAAATACTCTGTGTTCTGGAACCTACCAGATAAAACAGAACAGAAGAAACAAGACATAGCAGGAAAGATGTTAGTGATTGGTATCAGTCCAAATACAGTTCTGCTACCATTTAGTAGCTCTAGAATTCACATTTCTTTTCAGTAAATTGGGTTAAGAGATGATTGTACGGTCTGAGTTAATAGACTCTCTACGTACATACATTGTAGTTACACAATGAATGGTAGCTAATCATTTTTACTTGACGTGAAAGGATAAGAAACAAACATTTTACCAACTTCACTTACCTTCATATATTGTGACTGTGTTTTCTGATATATCACTGATTTTGAGGTCAGACTCTCAGATCATGTTGATGTGCTGCCTGGGTTTGGAGTTGTTAGTAACATTTATCCATCCATTAGAAAAACTGTTGTGTTGTGTTCTGTGGGCCAGTCATTGCTTCGGATCAGTGCTTAAACAGAAAAGTATGTTGTCAGCTTATACAATTCTGCTTCTCGCTCAGACTCCAGATTTAGATGTGTTAGTACTATTTTTTCAGCCTTCTTGGTTGAGAATTTCTCAGTTTTTGTGAAGGTAGCACTGAGCCTGGAACTGTCAAGAAATGCTAAAGGTGGAGGTCTGTGGGTATTTGTGTAGTCCGTGGTTGCTTTCTTAGGGAACTGGAACTGTCAAGAAATGCTAAAGGTGGAGGTCTGTGGGTAATTGTGTAGTCCATGGTTGCTACGGAGAAAAGTTCACATGGTGTCCCCAAGTCTCAGTTGTCTCAGCTGCATGACACTAAAGGCACCAGTGCTCTGTGGTGCTTCCTGCCTCTCTGGACTGTCAGCTGGGAGGGATTTGCTCACGTATGGTATGTCTGTCGAACTGAGACATACCCATGTAGTCAGGTGTTGAGAATACAAGGCAGCACTGTCAGGTTTAGAATAAACTTCTTAAAGGGTTATAGCACCCATTTTGGGATATAACTTCTAGATATTTTGATTTACATATTAGATCCTGAGGGAATGTTATAGAAGCTGTGAATCTCATTTATAAGCTAAAATGGAAAGTAATGAAGTGATTCGGTAACATAGAATACTTTTTTTCCCATTTCAGAAAACACCACTTTGATCATGGAGAGGTAAGGATATATGTTACCAACATTCTGCTTAGGTTTCTAGGTATTATTTGTACTGTCCTTTCTAGTTCCAATTTCTAAGTTTATTGACAGTTGTTGTGACTCATCTTCAAGTTATCCCAATGTGTGCTTTTATTAGAAGGCTGCATTTACATCCACAGACTGTTCATTTGTTGAAACAATTAAGCAGAAAATGTGTTAGGACTTCTCTGATAAGCTCTGCCGTAATAGCAGTTGATTAGTGGAGCCCATTTAGATGCACATGTGAGCTGTGTTTGCTTGGCAGAAAGCCACTTTGCTTGCTGCTCACTGACCGACCCTGAGGCCTTACCTTTGGTTCTGTGTGCTGCTGTCTGTGCTTTAGCTTGGCTTACCTAGCAGTTCCCAAGTGGAGTCTGGCATCTTGAAGCCACATCACTTCTCTCATCTTGCTGCTGCCTTGTTCTGCTGGTAGCACCAAAAGGAATTCAGAAATGTGGGCTGAATTAACTTGCATGCTTGTCTGAGTGAAATTACAGAAACACTTGCCTTCATGACTTGGTAATTTTAGCCTTTTACTTAAATAGAGCAGTGGGTTTTAACAGTTGTTTTAGAAATTTCAGGAATCAATGTAGTAAGTATTCATTTTTGTTACTAAGAAAAAATTTCCCTTTACTGTATATTCACCTGCTAAACTGTATTCTTCACAAATAAATAATGAAAAAAGCTTTCTTCTTTCTTTCAGCTGGTTTATCATGCACTGCAACTGTTGGCATATACAGCCCTCGGCATTTTAATTATGAGACTAAAGCTCTTCTTGACCCCACACATGTGTGTCATGGCTTCCTTGCTCTGCTCAAGACAGGTAACACAGTGGTGATGTTGGAATTTTGGCTGCCAGGATAACTTGCCCCAGCCTTGGTTGTTGAGAAACCCTCAAATTCTTGAGGTCATTGTAGTTAAAGTTTTTCCTGTTTCTGTGTTCATCCTTACTGCAGGGTGAGGGCCCAAGCGAATCAGTTTTCTATCCTAATTCCTAGAATAGTGTTTAGCATAAAACAAACACTGTCAGTGCAGGCTAAGTTTATGAGTGATAACTATAGATGCTGATAGCAAATGGACCTTAACAGTATAAAAAATTTTTTGTTATTTTGACATATAAATCACAAAGAATTCTAAGAATTGATTTCAAGACATAAATACTTTTAAATTACATATTCTTTTTTAGTATCAAGCTTTAACATTTTAAAAATTTATTTGCATATACAATTTATGTACATAACCCTGATATTCAAATTTAGTTAAAGCTGTGCTGGATTTGCTCCTTGTCTTTCCTGGTGACTGGCTCCCTGCTCTGCATTTGCAGGTTCACCTTGTCCAAAACATCACTTCCCACTCCAGTTAGGGGTTGGAGGCCAGCAGCTCCTCTTAGAAATGCAACCTGTACTTACCAAGCACCTTCTCAACACTCTAGGGGTGAGGATGGAGTAGATCAAGACGGGAGTTTCTTAGCCTCAAGAAACCCGAGATCCAAACTGTAGATAAATGCTATCAGGTAGACAGCAGGGACAAAGTGTTGTTACAGAGAGAGTAGACTATTTGAATATGAGGACAGCAGTCTATCCTAGGATGAGGGCTTTCTGTTACACCCAGCTTTCCCCAGCTCCTGAATGCAGCTGTAAAGGGGGTTGGCTATAAAGGGAGTTCATGGAGAGCCTTTCCATCTCCCTTCAGACATAGAGTGTCCCACCTCACTGAGGGCAGGACTTCTGCTGTACCTTCTGCCCAGAATTACAAAGTCAGAAGGACTCTATAGTGAATTTAATGTTTGCTCTTGTTTCAAACTTCTTAATGATTTTGAACAGTGAGCCTCCCATTTTCACTTTTCACTGAGTCTCATAAATTGTGTGGTTGGTTCTGGCTTTATGTGGATTTGATAGTAGAGGGAGCAGGTTGAAAGAACTTCTTAAATCATGTACTACCTGTGTAAGGCTGATGGTAGTGGAATTCCTTTGATCCCAAGAATCACTGTGTCTGCATTTTTCATAGGGTAATTCTTTATCTGAGACCCTAGAGGGCCCATATTCTTTTCTGGGAAGAACTTCTGATTATTGGATACATGATGCTTTATACTAGCAGTTACCAATGGCTTCTTAATTTGGTTTCAGCTGTTCGGTTGGCTGTTTTGCAAAATACATCCTGGTGCTGTTGTTTTTGCTGTATTAGCAGCAATGTCCATACAAGGTTCTGCAAATCTACAGACCCAGTGGAACATTGTAGGGGAATTCAGCAATTTACCTCAAGAAGAACTTATAGAATGGATCAAATATAGTACTAAACCAGGTAAAAAAAAATAGTCATTATTTAGTAAGTGTTTTTCTGAAAATAGTTTACAAGCCACTAGAAAGTCTTCTTTCTGGTACTTTTTTCCTAAGCAGTACTGTTCCTGTATTCAGAAAAGGTGAGAACTCAGTGCTGTTTAATGGTTTGGAGGAGAAATGTTAAAATATTCTCTTAATAGTCTGTCATTTTGTATAGATCCTCCTGTTTTTCAAAAGTTATCCAGAGTTTAGATGCTGCATTTTAAAAGTTTTATCATGCTTATTTTCTTGATGAATTTTTGGTGTTGGTCCTCATATTCTTTCTTGAAATGAACTCTTGGGATGTGGTGTTTTATTCATGTATAGGAAAAGAGACAGTAATCCACTAAATATCAAATGATTGAATATTAAATCATCTTCTAGAATATTCTAGGTGCTATAAAGCTTAGCTAGTGAATTTGCTGTTTCTTAGAGGTAAAAAAGATTTCTAGGATACTTTGAAGTTAAAAAAGGAAAGAAAAGAAATCCTCAGTGGTGAGGTGAACCTCTGTTTTCCAAGAAAAATAGTTGCTCTGCGTTCTCAGTAATCCAGTACATTCTGGTCCTGCCACTGAGTCGTTGAGCCATCAGCCTCACTGTGCCTCCACTCTGTCATCTGTGAGATCATTGAGTTGAACTATGAGGAGACACCTGCTGTTACTCACCATGTATCTTACTAAGATCCTCTGGCTTTGCAGATGCAGTGTTTGCGGGTGCCATGCCCACCATGGCCAGCGTTAAACTCTCTGCACTTCGGCCAGTCGTGAACCACCCACACTATGAAGATGCAGGTTTGAGGTCAGTATATGACCTCTCCTTATTAAATAGACAGCCCATGAAGAAACCAGCCTACCAGTGAGGGGTGTTTCCAGACGATGTGGTGAGCTGAGAATTAGCAGGGAAGGGAGAGAAGTGGTGAAATAAGACTGCTGCTCTGGAAACAAAACTGTTGAGCTTTGTTACTGCCCCAGGACAGTGGGACAACAGACAGACAAAGACACCGTGCTGTTTGAATTTCTGTAGGCTCACAGCACACCAGAATACCTAGGTCCTTTGGTATTCATCATTAGCCTCAAGTTCTCCTGAACCAGCTTGTTGTTTTTTTAATAATATTTCTTAGGGGCTTTTTTTCTTGCATTCTGAGTATCTCATTGAAATAGAACCATATTAAAAGGATTTTGTTCAGATTTTCATCAGTATAACCTCCTAGAATGACCTTGGGACTTTTCAGGATTTTTTTATACCGTTTGTTCATAATTTATAGCTTTGTATTCTCTTCATAGAGGTGCTTTATGTTTTGTTCAATTTCTAGGGTATGTGGAGCTATCATTTCCTAGGTGGATCCTGTTGATGTGTATGTTTTTTATAGAAACATGAGATGTATAGTTAATAAAAGCGTTTTCACTAAAAATTTTCAGCAGGTAGTTTCCAGTGCCATTTCAATAAGGTGGTTTTCTTATTTGCTTGTTTGTGAATCTATAATTTAGGTGGATAGCCATGTAATACTAATTGGTATTGAAGGGGGGGGGAGTTGACCTTCAGTGTAGTCCTGTGGTTGTGTTGGTTGTGGCTCATCCCTGTCCACATTCAGAGTGTCTTACGTTTATGTGTGGTACAGTGATGAAAGTGCTACAAACAAAAACTAGCAAACAAGTAGAAAGCAGACTAACTTTGGAAACACAGGGGTGTGCTAAAGTCCGACTTCCTCTCCTGGGCATGTGCTGCTGGCTGCTTCCATCAGTGAGAAGTTTCTGTGACCTGATTTCTGAATATGCTGATTCCATCCTTTGAATTTTGAAAAAAGTTCTGTTTCCTCCCCCCCTTATTTTTCTTTGAAGAGCTAGAACAAAAATAGTATATTCAATGTATAGTCGAAAAGCAGCTGAAGAGGTGAAGCGAGAGTTGATAAAGCTGAAAGTGAATTATTACATCCTAGAAGAGTCATGGTGTGTAAGAAGATCCAAGTGAGTACTAACTACGGTGAATGTGGTCTTGGGGAGTTCACTCAGCCTCATGGCAAGTGCTGTGTTGTTTGTGTTAGACACAGATAACACTTTGCGTACTGAATGTGAAAAATAAGATTTTAGATCATTTGACTTGGAGTGGTATTTTCTCTACTCATTATGAATATTTATAACTATCAGAGCATACTACCTTAAAGCAGTTATATTGGAACTGATTGGTATATTCTAAATTGCTCATATTTGCCAGTGGTATTTTAAAAGCTTTTATTTTAAAAAAATTGGATTTGTTTTTCTTTCATAAGATGTCCAGAGTCTGAAATTCAGCACTAATGAAGTGAGGCCAGTCTCTGAATGTTGTCTCCCACATCGGCTTAGGATGAAACTGTCCATTCTTGCTGTTTCACTTCTTCTTTGGGTACAAAAATAGTGAACTTTACAGACACCCATGCTGTCTTGAGTTTATAGTTTTAGAAATTTCTGTTCCCATGGAGAAGTTCGGTAAGCGCAGTGTAACTGCCAGGTTACGGGAAGTCAGCAGTGTAGAAGGGCTGCCCGTGGCCGGCTGCGCAGCCGGTGACCGTTCCTGCTCTTGAAGTGTACAGCACATGCGCAGTTGCATCAGAAATGGAGAGTATTTTGTAGAATTTTTGTTATGGAAAATTTTCTTACTGATCTATAAACGAAAACCGCCAGGAGATTGCTACATCTGTGACTTGTCCAACATACATCTCAGTAAAACACTTGGGTATTAAGATAAAAGGTAAAATATTGACTCACAAATGAAGATAGTTTTGTGGCATAGCAGCTATTCCGCTTTGCTCACAAGGGAAATGAAGTAATTGGCAATTGCGGGATGAGTGTGTTATAAGTATATGCCAGCTGACTTGAATATAATCACAAGCTTTATAGAAACATTATTCTTGTAGTTTAGAAAATGCTTTTGGTATGTGAATATATGCAGAATTCGCATACATTGAATGAACTTTCTGATGTGAATTTGGAACCATAAGTTATATACTCCTCTTCTGTGAGTGCATGGTGGTAAATGATAGCTGACACTTTCAGTAGGGAGACGCCTGCTCAACAGCTTCCCATCAGAATTGGTACCGGTTTTATTTCCTTGGATTTCACTTTCCTGAGAGTTACAGGTTACTAGAAGATTTAAAAAAAAAGGTTCATGCTCCCCCCCCCCCCCCCCCGCCTCAGAACTGACACAGTGGACCCTGAATCAAGATTCTTCATTCTTTTTTCCTGGACCCTTGCATGTTTTGAAAATGTCAGCATTATAAAGGCTTGTTTTCTAAGGGTTTGGCAGAGCTCCTTGGTTTGTATAGCTGTGGTAGCCTCATGTTCGGGTAGCCAGAGCCCTGTTTCATGTCCACAAGAAGGTGGATAGAAGCAATTGCAGGAAATGTGGCAATAACCATGCACACTAAACAAAGCCAGCAGCCACTGAACTGACTTGGGGTCCCAGTGGGCACGCCCTGACAGAATACGAGGAGGGGCAAGTGTGTGGCTTCCCTTTTGAGGACTTGGCTTGCCATTGCTGAGCCTGTTCCAGCAGCAGCTATGAGGGTGGAAGCTGAGAGGGTAACATTGTCTGTTTTCCCAACTCATTACCTGTTTTCCTAACTCATTTCCATCCAGCATAAGATCGGAGTCAGATTAAGTGCTTACTCCCAGGAAACCTAGGACAGATCTGAGCTTCAACCTCGGAGCAAAATAAAAGCTGTGTTTTCTGTTGCTGCAGTAAGGCAGATGGGCAACTGAGAAGGGAGAGGAAAAGAAGAGAGACTAATATTTATCCAATATCTAACTGTGCCTGCACTTTGCTGAGCATTGATAGACTCTCATTTACAAGTGGCTTAAGCATTTCTTAAATACTCAACACTCACTGCTCAAATGCAAGCTGTAGATGAGTTTTTGCTTAACTACACTTTTATTTTCAATTGTCTGCCTTCTTTCATTATTTCAATAATAGGGTTGACATAAAAGTAAAATACATGTAACCAGGGGAAAAATAATTCAAATTTTCACTAATGCTGTTTAACAATGTGGCTGGCTAGCCTGGGAAAAGCTTAAGAAACAAAGACTGTTGGTGCTACATAGTGGAGAATGGGGCAGGACTGTCACAGGGCTGAAAGGAACTTTTAGGAACTATTTCCTTACATTAAAATAGAGTAAAGCAACTAGGACCGAACGTAAGCAGTTGTCAGCTTCCTGCTGCTTACAGTTTATCCAGAAGCAAATAAGAAAAATGAATTATATCAAGTTCCAACAGTTACACTTATAAAACAGTTCTTGATTTAAAATACTACAGTTACTTTGAAGGACTTACTTAGGCAAACAAGGTATCACATGATCTCTTTCATTTTGTTCCTTATGAAACAATGCATCACTTTTAGACTTAATTATGCATTAATCTAATATGTAAACTTAATGCCAACAAATTTTCTTTAAATTTACTCTAAAATATAGTTGATGAAATTTCCCTGTGAATTGAGAATATTTTCTAATTAAGATTTCAGAAATCAACAGTAGGCCGATTACTCTTTACCAGACGTGGTGCCAGGTACCCGATCTCCTTTGTCATGGCTATTTCTCTGTTTCACAGATGAGGAAACTGAGGCCAAAAGAAGTCGCCTGTGCACTTTGGCCTTGGTAGATAGCTGAGGCTGACTTGAACCATGATCTCCCAACTCCAGCACCTGCATGAGAGTGTTCTATAGATGTGTTTCTTTGTAGTCATCTTGGGTCGATCTGACTTGCCCTAATAAAGGGCTTGTGGTCATTAAACAAAATACAAAGAACTGTGGTAGGAGTTCTTGGAAACTAAAGTTTAAAAAAAAAAGTTGAAATGAAGAATATAGGAAGTACAGAACCTGTTGCTTTTTGTCTGCATTTTTATGTGATGTGCACTGATCCTTTTCTAATGTGTATCTTCATTTCCTAGGCCTGGTTGTAGCATGCCTGAAATTTGGGATGTGGAAGATCCTGCTAATGCGGGGAAAACACCCTTGTGCCACCTCTTGGTGAAGGAGTCCAAGCCGCACTTCACCACCGTGTTCCAGAACAGTGTTTACAAAGTACTCGAAGTGATCAAACAGTGACTGCTAGAGGAGCTGCTGCCTGCAGACAGCCACATCAGTAACAGTTTTCATGTTTTGCTAATAAGTCATGTGTTGTTTTTAATTCAGATCCTAAACTTTTATAAGTAACTGTTTTCAAATAGAAAACGTTTTATTTGGTTAATTTGAATTATACTGTGACTGTAAAGCAACTTATACCTTTATCAGTTGGTTACTATTTCAATGCATCCCTTGAAATTTGCTATGCAAATGAGTAACTGCTTGTATTTAATATTTGTGCTGAAGTGAGCAAAGCTACCTGTATAAAACATTTGGATGGATCATGAGAAGGAGGATGCAAACAGTCAATTCTGGTAGGGACTCTCTAAGGGACGATGAATGTCCTAACTTTTTTTTCCTTTTGCCTCATTCTCTTGTCTTTAGGGAATTTTGTTGATTCTCCTAAGCTCCTGAGACCCCACCAGCCCCTGCTGCCAGCCCAGTGTTGATCGGTGGGGCAGGCGTGGGGCTTGGCAGGGTGCAGTTGAGTGTTTCGTCTGCTTCCTCCCGTCGTCTGCTGCACTGGTGACGGAAGCCTCTCCAACCCGTCACTTAACTCCGGTTTTTGTTCTTAGTGCTTAGGACCAAATGTCCTTCAGTTCCTCTGACTTCTAACCCTGCTGCATAATTTGTGAAACTCCTGCCTCTCCAACCTTCCCTGCCATTTTTGTCAAATAAGTGCTATTTACTTCTTGAGTTGCTTATCTAGTACTTACTCTTGGCTAAAAAAAAGAAAAAAAGAAAAAACCAATAATGGTAGCTGTATTTTCTCATTTTTAATATTATTCAAATGTTTATATTTTAATACCTTTAAACCACTTTCAAATTTTTTTATGTTTAATTGTAGTTTTAAGAAAAACTATTTTGAACAACCCCAAATATAATGTATGTAGAAACTAATGTATATTTGACTAGGCATAATTTACAGTGGAGTATTAGCTTGCAGTATATGGCAATTTTTCTTTTACTATTCAGATATAATTAAAATGTGACTAATTTTTGAGTCAAAAAGTAAATAAATATGATAAATGAGTTTTTATATTTTACTTTTAAGATTACCTGTCTTAAATAAGACAAAGCCTTAAGCCTTATGTTATAATTTTGGTTCTAAAAACCATTATCTTAGTATGAGGAATGTGTATATTGAGTCTTCCTCTTCTTTTTCTTCCTATTTATTTTCAAAATATTCCAAACTTTGAATTCTTGTATGAATTTTTGTCTCTTAGGAGTTAATTTGTGTGAAATGAGATTCTTCCGAAACAGTACAACATTACAGTTCTTAGAAATGGTTTTAAACTCTAAGCAAACTCTGACTATGGCCGAGTACACCTTTAATTATATAGTGTTCTCTTTACTAACCACAGGCAGATTACCTCATTGTGGATTGTCCTTGAGAACTGAGTCCTCAGGGATGGCTTTCCAGGACTCACTCCTGGGAGCCCCTGAAGAGCTATTTGCCTTCTCACCAGCGCCAAAGGACAAGGCTGGTGCTTGCTGAGTCAACAGGTGCGAAGCCAGCACAGCACACCAAGGAGTATGCCCTCGCCATCCCTGCCCTAGTGTCCGGAGCCAATTCTTCCTTCCCTGGAGTCAGCCTGGGACACTGGTTCTGTCATAGTACTCCGCACAGTGCTGGCTGGTTGGCTGGCTGTTTTATTTCTGAGACTTTTACCAGTGTCAGGAAGTAGGGGAGCCCCCAGAGTTTTATGGAGTAGAAGAAACATTTGAGCAGTGATGCAGCGACAGAGAAATGGGAAGAGGGCGCTGGTGGCTGAGAAGGGACAGGATGGAGGCTGTGCTCTGCTTCGTCTGCGGTTGTTTCTCACCCAAGATTGGCTGGTTTTGGGTTTTTTTTTCAGTCATACTTTTAAAATTATTATCTCCTCACCTTCCCCAAATTCCTTTGCCAATAAATTCTCATGTGATGTTTGAAAATTCTGTACAGGAGAACATGGAAATGTTGTTAAAACAGTGTCATATGCCGGGAAACAGTAAAAGTCAGCTAGACAAATGTTTCTCCGGATGAGTCCTTTCATAGCAGCACTTGGTGATGCATCCCCACCAGCAAGCCCTGGTTCTGTTCCAGCCGGTCAGTGCAGAAGCGGGCACTGCACACTTGGCCTTCATCGCGTTTCGCAGCAGCCTGCGCTGTGGAATACAAGTGTCTGTCAGGACAGTGTAGAGTAGCAGTACGTTCCCTATGAAAAGCAAAGCAGTATTAAGGCTCAGTATTTTACATATTTTTAACATTTCAAAAATATTTTTGTTTTAGTATGGAGAAAGCTGAATTGGGCGGAAGAAGATAGAAATAGTTATTGTTACAACATTTAAACAAACCAAGTTGAGGCAATATTTCTATTAAAAAAAAGCCTCTAACAGTGCTGGCAGCAAAGCATAATGTTACAATAGGTCAGTGACTGTAAGAAGATGAAATGATGTATCAGGAATAAAACAATATTGCATAGAAGTATTTTTATGAATTTTATGCCACTTGTTTACACATACTATATATGTTAAATAAAAAAGATCATGAAAAATGTACAAGGTGTTTTCTTCTTGATTGTTATTTTCATTTCTACCTCAACTGAGGATATATTTGGTTTCATTTTGTAGCCAGGAAGCCATGGATTGGTCTGAGACATGTGTTAAAATGAGGGAAAGAGTTTCTAATTGGGTCCATGAGCCTCCTTGATCTCATCATTGATCATTGGACAAGCTGGAATTTTCCAAACTTTTTTTCCTATTTAGAGCAGAGTCACATTACTTCTTGATCCTTTCCATCAAGGGGCACAGTAGTTCATTAAAATTATATGTTTGGGATAATTACAGAGTATGTGAAAGCATTTTCTCACACGTTAAACCACAGGCAATTTGGTGCCATAACATTTCCTAAATTGTAGCTCCGTGTTTTAGCTTAATAGAAACAGCAGTTCTGTTGTGTTGTCCACTTGGAGTAAAGGCATTGTAGCTTTGTTCATCCATATATAATTAATTTCTCAGCAGAGAGCCACCTGGATGCTGACATCTTTGGGGAGTGCAAAATTCTAACGCAGTAGTTCTCAGAATTCCTAGGCATCTGAATCAGCTGGAGGGAACGTAGAGTGCTGTGGCAATACAAGGGTGAGATCCAAGAAGGTATGTTTCTGACCATGTCTCAGGCAGTGCTGGTGCCGTTCGTCTTAGGAGCATAGTTGAGAACAGCTGCCCTGATGCCTGGGGTGCCGGTGAGGTTGGAAGACTGGCAATCAGGGGGGTGCTACATCCCCGAAGCACACCCCATCATGTGGAGTTGAATTTTATGAAGTCCCTTCTTTGTTACGGGTCATTTAAATATTTAGATGCCACAAACTGGACCTTGTTTTTAGAATGGGGAAGGAGAAAAAGACATCAATTCACTGCTGTGTGGGTGTTTGCAAGCTTTTGCACTGTATTTTGTTTTCACCCCAGAAATCCTTCATCTCCTTCCTCTGCTGGAGAGCAGCCAAGAATCAGCCTGAGGTCACAGGCTGCTGGCCCTCTTCCTCCTCCTCCTCCTCCTCCTCCTCCTGTCCCAACTAGAGGCCCCCTTTCTCCTTCTCCTCCTCCCCCCCTACCCCCAACTAGTGGCCCTCCTCCTCCTCCTCCTGCCCCAACTAGAGGCTCATCATTTAAATCAGAAAAAAAAAAAACCAGGAGCAGCTTCTCAATTGCTTGACACTTCTGAATTGGTCTTTATTTCACAGCACTATATGGGGGCAAATGTGTTTTTGTATTAGGATATAGAAGGATATCAAGGATAGTACAGAGAGGCCTTAGAAACCCTCTTTTTTTACATTTGCTTGTGTGAGTGGGTTTTAAAATTCTGAAGAAATTTAAGATTTTGAGTGATTATAGTGAAATTGAGTGGTAAGATTTTTGTTTTTCCCAAAGAGATTAGGATTGCAGTGATACCGGCTCCACTGTCAAAAGCAGTTCTTTCTACCCAATTATCTCTAACCCCAAACTCTTATTTCTTTGTGTACAGTGTTGTCTAGAGGACTAAAAAATAAACAGCAGTGCTGTCCAGTATTCAGTTTATGTAGGCATGCTCTTTTTAATGTTGCATAATTAGCATTTCATTAGTTTTTAAGCACCTGGTATACTTAAAAATTAAGCTCATCCAGTTGTTTTGTTGATTGCTTTTGACATCTTTAGTTCTTACCAATTTATAAATAATAGAAATGAATGTAAGGAACGAAAGTTTCTAAATAGATTTGCATCTTACCATATAAACTGCTTTTATTTGTGTTTTTTTCAAGGTGCTGGCAGACTGCCTCTTGAGCTCAGCATTACTGGTACAGCTCAGGCCCCAGGCCGCATCCCTGGTGATGCTCTGCTTTGTGGTCATGGTATCTGTATTGGTCAGACTTCAGACTCAGGTTCCCTCAGGCCTTGGGAATCCTCTTACTAGGAAGTTCAAGTCAGTAATCCCTCTAGATCTTAGTGGTGAGTGTGGCTCGCTCGCTTGCTTGCTTGCTTTTTTTCTTTCTTTCTCTCTTTTTCTGTCTCTTTCTTTCTCTCTTTCTTTCTTAAGATATTGTTTGTTTGAAAGAACAAGGGATGGAGAGACATAGAGAGTGCACTTCCATCCACTGGTTTACTCCCCAAGTAATGTGAAATCAGTTTTGTTTTTCTTTGTAGATGCTTTTCTTGATCAGTGTCTACTTCAACATGCAACTCTTTCATCCCTTTCCTAACTTCCTACCAGTTAGGACTGAGTGAACTATTCCACATAGTCAGTGCTCCTATAACTTTTGTATGGCAGGACTACTACTGTGGCTTTCTGCTGTACTTTGTCCTGCTAGAAGTGGGACGTATATTTTATTCCAACATGAATTCACTGTACTTCCAACACAGTTCCTGACAGGTAATACTGGCCTAATGATTTTTCAAAGAAGCCCTTTTTTATTCAACAATGTGATACATCCCAGATTTTTTTTTTTAGAGTGGAAGTTTATGTTTCTAATCTTTGAAGAATAACCAAATGCAAGGCACCTTCAGATGAGATTAATGTCACACACACAGGAGAATAATAACCTCTTGGCATATGCTGTCTAGCTGCATACCTCTGGGGAGAGCTGGCAGCTTTGCCTTCAAAGGGAAGCTGTGTGAACTAGTAACGACAGTTTCTCTATCTGCTGGACAGGGACCCTTCAGGAACCTGTTCTCAGTTGTGTGGTCCAGGATACTGTGATGGCTAGGCCTGGTCTGACAGCGGATCAGGAAGCTCTTAAAATGTGGTTAAAGACTAGGCAGCAGGAATTTTCCAGAGTGAGAACAGATTGGTGTTATGTTTAGAGGCAGATGTTGGCAGCAATCATGTAACATTGTGAGAGCAAATAAAGTGGAGTTCTATGTCCATCCTTTACAAACCTTGTGGAATAAGGCGTGTTGCTTCATAAGGCTGTCCATCAGGGGTGCTAATTATAAACAGGTGCAGACAAATCTATGGTCACCACAGGAGATTGGAGCCTCTTGCTCACTGATGGGAACCAAGTGCCTGACTGGTACCTCACACAGATAAGTAATCAATATCTGTTGAATCAATAGAAATTCTCAAAAAAAATTTAAAGCCCTTAAGTTACAAATCAATACAGAATTTAAAAATGAAGCTATGAATAATACATGAGTCAGAGAGTTTATGGTGAAAACTTGGGTGGGGGCAGAACAATGATATATTCCAAATAGCTTGTGAGGTATACATAAGGCACATATTCATAAAGTACATACATTAAGCTAAAAATTAAATACAACATGCACCTCTGGCCACTCCCATGTTTAAATAAATAATGGGGAGAAGTTGAAAGTACAAAATAAATATTAGCAAATTTAGTGTTATTTGAAAGTATTATCGGAAGAAAGATACCATAAAAACTAGGAATGGTCAACTACAAAACTGCAGCGAGTCAGCCTGTAAAGTAAGATATTATAAGCACTTTCCTTAATAAGTAGGTTGTTAGATAAAATAGTTTAATTCATTTAAAATACACTTTGACAGAACTGATCCAAGAAGCAGCAGAAATTAGAAATAATGATCATGTCTACCAAACAAATCAGTAATTAAAAAGATCCTCCCTCAAAGAAAACAACAAAACCAGGACAGTTCAACATAGTGATTATTCCAGTCTCACACAGACATTTGATGAGTAGAAAGTGGAAGAACTCGGTTTTTTAGGTGACTGCAACATTAATACCAAGATCAGAATAAGGTCAGTGCAGTAAAGGAGAGCTGCAGGATTGTTACATTCATGAATACCAATGCAGACAAAAGCCTAGGAATAAGTTTAACATTAAGAGTCAAAACAGCAGTACAAAGATTTGTTCCTGATTTTAATCAAAATCCCAATGAGACTTTTTATGAAGCTTGACAAACAATGTAAAAAGTCTGGATATTAAGAATAAACAAGTTGGGCCCAGCACAATAGCGTAATAGTTAAGGTCTTCACCTTGAACACGCCAGGATCCCATCTGGGTGCTGGTTCTAATCCCGGCAGCTTCACTTCCCACCCAGCTCCCTTCTTGTTGCTTGGGAAAGTAGTTGAGGGCGACCCAAAGCCTTGGGACCCTCCACCAGCGTGGGAGACCTGGAAGAGCTCCTGGCTTTGGATTGGCTTCAGATCAGCACTGACCATGCAGCCACTTGGGGAGTGAACCATCGGATGGAAGATCTTCCTCTCTCTCCTCCTCTCTGTATATCTGCCTTTCCAATAAAGTAAATAAATCTTAAAAAAAAATAAACAAGTTTGAAGAATATGAGATAAGGACATTTTTCCTGCCAGATTTATTGTAACAGTTATTATAGAGGTATTGGGTGTGTGCATACATATATCCTCTGTATCCTATGCATATAGCCTATATATGTGAGATATATATCTCTTATGTATATACCCCCAACATACATATATATATATATATATACATGTGTGTGTATATATATGTTTGTGTTTCAGCCTGGCACATTCCTGGCTTTTGTAGGCACTTGGGATGTGAACATCATATGGAAAAATCCATCTCTCCCTCTTCCTCTCTCTCTCATTGTAACTCTGCCTTTCAAGTAAATATTTTTTAAAAATTGAGAAGTGGAATAACTAGTGAGGAAAAATAAATGCAAATAACTTGTACAATTTTAAAAATTGCTTTGAAATCAGATAAATGCAAAATAAATCCATGATATCACCATTTATAATTCATAACGTTAATAAGAAATTTTAATGACAGAAGAAGGTAGAGCAGTATGAACACTCCCTTATTCCCTGTGGAAAGTTACCTCTTTGGACATAAATGACCTTGGTGATCAGTTGGAGAAAGCACACACCATAAACCATCATCTCTGCCCCTTAGGCACCTGCCCCAGGAAGTTGCTACACGCCTGCACTTGATGAGTATGAAAGTCCGTAACAGCAGAGAGCTGGGACTTAGCCATGTATCCGGAGCAGATAATAAAGTGACAGCACTGAGCTGTGCTCATCCAGTGGGCTTCTGCTGTCCACATCAAGGTGTGAAACGACTGTCAGCAGCAACTT